CTCAGGGAGGTCTGTGGGCAGCCCTGGCTTACAGGCCATGTGGTGAGGAGGTGGTTTTCAAGGAGCAGGGAAGCTGGCCTTGTCACTGATCCCACTTTCTTTCCACAGAACGTGGTGAAACTGATGCGGGGTCTTCTCCAGTGCATGATGAGACAGGTAGGCAGAAAAAGACAAAAGTGTTTTCAGGTCATCTGAGTGGCATTTTGTCACTTTCATGGTGACAGCTAACATTCCTAAAGCATTTTGAGCTTCTCACGTGGAAGAGAAATTGAAAATACTTGGCTTACTTTGTCCTTTCAATTATCTTCAGTAATCTTATCATACTATAGAACCACAGACTCAAAGGACCCTGTTTCTCACAATCTCTTTTGAAAGGAGAGCATGCCCTTTTTTTAAACGGGGATGAAATCATTGTTTTTAAAAGCCACTCTCGGACAGCCATGTAGTATTGTTTCTTCTGTTGAGTTTATATATAGAGGGGTTTCTTTTCATTTGAGTTGAAATGCTTGAGTGTTTAAGACTTGACAGTACTGTCTACTGGCATTTCAGTGGGGGGAGGGGGGTAAATAAAATAATGCATTGAGCTCGTACTATGCACAGAACCTCATTATGGGATCTGCACAGGTTCCAAAATGAATGATACTGTCCCCACCCTTCAGCAGCATGTGCCTGGTTACTCTTCAAAGCCCTAGTTCCTCTTTTCCTTCTGACATAAGGAAACAAGAAGCTGAAGTTTAAACAGGTCCTCTTTCTTCCCTCTCTCTCTCGCTGAGCGCCTACCATGCGTCACAGCTCCGGCTGGGCATATGCACACAAGGAAAACCCTTTGGCTTGACCCGTCGCCCTGTAGAGCTTGTTAAAATCCCCCTGGGCTGGGCCACATCTGGTGTGGACAGGGAGAATCCCCCACACAGCCCCTCCGTGTGGTGCCGCCTTCCATCTCTCTGGCTCCCAGAGGTAGCAGCTAAGAGGTCTAAGAGCAAGAGATTGACCCTGGGTGTGGCCTCTGCCGGCCGTGAAGCCCTTAACCGTGTGGAGCCGGCTTGCTCTCTCCCGCAGGTGGATAAAGTGGAGAAGTTCAAGCACACTCAGAGTACCAAAGACAGCTTGCACGCCAAGTACAACACGGCCACCTGCAGCACTGTGGTGGGCGACGACCAGTGGGGCCACCTCCAGGTGGATGCCACCTCCCTCTTCCTCCTGTTCCTGGCCCAGATGACTGCCTCTGGTGAGCCAGGGCCCTTGGAGCCCATTGTACAGGGAGTGACAATCCAGAAGGGAGCAGGGAGGGGCAGGCATTGATCCAAATTCCAAATAAGTTATTTCTGTAAAGAAAAAGCATGCATGTTTATAATATCACGTACATTGACTCAGTGACCTGCCAATGGCCAGCCTTCTGAGGACCTATAGGACAAAGGGCTGTCGAGCCAGCTCTGGTAGCATCTCTCTGGTTGATCCCAAAGCTGGCTTGGCCCCTTCACCTTTTCCTCTCACTTCCCTCTTCTAGACACACCCTCATTCACCTGAATTATATTCAAACAACATAATTTCTAGAACTTGGCAGTCTGCCCAGAGTGGTCAGTCAGTCCATAGCCTCCATGCTGGGAGTGGGCCAAAAACTCCCTGACTGTGAGCATTGTTCCTCAGCCCAAGCTGTTGGCTTCCATGGCAGCTTGGGACACCAGGCCTCCTGAGCTCCAGACTGTAGCGTGTTTCTGCTAACAAATGGTCTCTCGCATGACATAGTCTGCTGCGACGGCCCCCGGGGGTTAGGTCATTTAGCTCCTGTGTCTCAGTGTTCTTATCCCCAGTCCAGTAAACTGACCTTCTGAGTTAGAGGCTTCCCATGAATTTCAGTCTGCAAATGTGAAACTCTAAAGATAGCAGAAATCAGTAAATAATATTGTTATAGCTTTGTGAATAAGCCAGGCATTTATAAAAAGTACTTTTTGGTTATGAAAATTAAGATGAGCTCATTGTAAATAGTTTGGAAAATAGAACAAAATACAAAGAAAAAAATTCCACTGCCAATTTTCATTTGGATGTCTCCTCTAAGTCTTTTTTTTTTTCCCCCCAATTTAGGGTCATATTGTTTTCATAAATAGTAGTCGTTATTATATAGAATTATAACTTAAGCATTTTCCCCATGATCTTACAAGCTCTTCATAAATATAATTTTAGCGATTTTATCAATGAATATGCCATAATCAGACTCTTCCTTTATTCCTTTTTTTCTCCTAGTGTAACTGATGTTGCAATCCAACTTTTTTTTTTTTTAAAGATTTATTTATTTGAGAGCAAGAGGTGGGGGGAGCGGGGCAGAGGGAGAGGGAGAGAGAATCCTCAAGCAGACTCCCTGCTGAGCATGGAGCCCGATGCGGGGCTCGACCCCGAGACCCTGAGGTCATGTCCCAAGCTGAGAGCTAGAGTCGGCTGCTTAACTGACTGAGCCACCTAGGTGCCCCACAATACCAACTTTGACCCCATCGCTACTTGCTTCCTTCTGTTGGATAGACTTCAGAGGCTATTTATATATATTACCAAATTGTTTTCAGAACAGTTTACTAGTTAAACTCCCCCTATTGATGTAAGAGTTCATATCTTACCATACCCCTATCAGCTTCAAAAATCCATACTTTTCAAAATATGTATATTTGCCATAATCACCTAAACATTCGAGGGCCCAAGCAAAAATCCAGCTCTCTCTCTCTTTTTTTTTTTTTAAGTTTTATTTATTTATTCATGAGAGTCAGAGAGAGAGAGAGAGAGAGAGAGAGGCAGAGGGAGAAGCAGGCTCCCTGCCTAGCAGGGAGCCTGATGCGGGACTCGATCCCAGGACCCTGGGATCATGACCTGAGCCGAAGGTAGACACTTAACCGTCAGAGCCACCCAAGCGCCCCCAAAAAATCCAGCTCTCTTGATCACCACCTACTTCAGCTAGTCAATGCCGCTCCCTGGGGAGGTCTGGGGAGCTCGCCATCCCACAAGGTCAAGGGCTATCTCTTGAAGTTGGGGGCTCTATTTTACCTATCTGCCGCAGGGGAAAGGTACCCACCCTTTGGCTCACTCAAGGATAAGAACAGTGTCTGGTTGCTCTGGGCTAAAATTTGTGCTTTGTTGGAAACTTCTTTGCACAAATCCAACACTAGCAGAAGGCCCCACACCTCTTTCAGCCTTTTCTATCCGTAGGCACACCCGCATTCCTTCCTTCCTTTCTCTTTCTGAGATTAGACATTAGCTGCTTCAGTTTACTTCAAATTTAATTTTTGATGCCTAGTAAGAAAAATGAAAATGGGGGAAAACAAAAAATGGGAGTACAAGAATTTCTTTCCTAGTATGATATTTGTAATTTGGGAGTGGCAGCACACACACCTCCCCTCACAACATAACTCTGTAACTTCACTGTTTGTTTCTCTTTACTAGGTTTACGTATTATTTTTACCCTTGATGAGGTGGCCTTCATCCAGAATCTTGTTTTTTACATAGAAGCCGCGTATAAAGTCGCTGTAAGTATCAACCCTGGTAGTTTTTCAGGTATAAAGTCACTGTAAGTATCAACCCTTGTAGTTTATCAGGTGTCCCAGTTCAAAAGAATAAAAATCATACAGGTCTTGGAGGGCCAGGCTGTTTGGGGCTGATCAGAAAGGTAGCAAGATTCGAGCTCTAAGATTGTCACCTCTGCACACAAAGTACACATTTTTGTCCTGGGACCCAGTTGAGGAGCTGATGTTTTTGGAATGCACCACATGCTCTGTTTGACTCCTTCGTGCTTATTTTTTTTAAAGATTTTTATTTATTTATTTGTGAGAGAGAGCAGAAGCAGGGGGAGCGGCAGGCAGAGGGAGAAGCGGACTCCCTGCCGAGCAGGGAGCCCGACGCGGGGCTCGAGCCCAGGACCCTGGGATCACGACCTGAGCCGAAGGCCGCCGCTTAACCGACGGAGCCACCCAGGTGCCCCTATGCTTATTTGAAATAAGACCCTAACGTGTCCCGGAGCCGGCACACAGGCCGGCCGGGACCCGGGAAGGGCAGCCGCAGCAGCAGCTTGTCAGTAGGAGCTGCAGAGCCGTGTGGATCACCCCAGGCAGCCCACAGGCAGAGGGGCCAGAGCCGGATGTGTGCCCCAGGCCAGGTATGGGTGGCTGTAAATGTGTATGAAGCCCAGTGCCTCGGGGCTTCTGCTGATACGGCAGGTGGAGCCTCATGCACTTCTAGTTGTTCTAGAATAACGAACCTGTGGAAAGCTCACTGTAAGGGCAGTAAAGAAAGGGTAGGGGTGGGTGGGTTGGTTGGTTGGTTGGTTGGTTGGTTGGTTTTAAAAAGCCACCGTGGTCGAAAGCAAGGGTCAGCAAACATTTTCTGTAAAGGGCCCGACAGTAAATAGCTGTTTTCGCCTCCCCGGCCCCCGTTGCTTCTCACGTCTGCCCTTGTCGAAGAAAGGCAGCCATAGACAGCACGTGACCGCGCGAGCATGGCTGTGTCCCAGATAGACCTTCTTTACAGAAGTAAGCGGCAAACTAGGTTGGGTCCGAGGGCTACCTAGGTCTAAAGAGGCGATTCTCAACAAGGGGCAGTCTGCCCCTCCCAGGGGACATTTGGCAACGTCTGGAGACGTTATTGGTACTGGCATCTAGCGGGCGATGGTGGGGGATGCTGCGGAATGGCCCGCGGTGCGCAGGATAGCCCCACAACAGAGAATGGTCTGGCGCAAAATGTCAGTAGTGCCGAGGTCTAAAGAAACCAGAGGGGAGTGGAAAGGGTGGGACTTTAGTTGGACCTTGGAGGACGAGCAGGGTTTAGAAGAGCAGAAGGGTGCGGGAATAGCGGGAGCAGTACCGGGCAGGAATGGGCTCTGAGTGGGGGAGGGGTCCTGGGGGAGAGGGGGTGTGGAGGGAAGGAGTAGACCTCTCTCTCCTGCAGGCAGAGTTTTGCACAAACCAAAGTCTGCTTGTGGGCATGCCGGGCGGGGGGGGGGGGGAGGCCACATAACAGAGGTGTGGCCAGCCGCAGGGATTTGACAGAGCCACTGCTGAATAGGCAGTTTGTCATTTGAGATTCTTGCACAGGGGAGTTAGCTGATTGGGCAGTTTTTGAGGATGAGTCACTTGGGTCCAGGGTTGGAGTGAGAATGGGTTGGAATGTGGAAAGGCCCAAATGTGAGGAGCACTGAAGGCCGGAGTCCTGGGGCTCAGCTAGAAAGCATGCCAGCAGGAAAGAGTCTAACGCCGCTCTGGTGTGCCTACGTCTAAATTTGCACATTTTGGAAATGTTCATCTTTGCAGATCAGATAATAAATACTGAAATTTTGGCACTGGTCCTGTTCCTGTTGGCTTGTAATTTTTCAGTAGTGCATGTAGCATTATTTCAAAACGGTATCCAGTGCTTGCCTTTCTTCAGTGAAAATAAGAATTATAAAAGTTAGGTATGCATATATCACATCCTCTATGGATGGAGTGTTGTGAGCCAATTCACAATAATTGGTTTTAAAAGGCCAAGAAAGTTCAGTATTCTGTGCCTCAGTTTTGATTTTGGCCTCTGTTACTTGCTTAGCATTTTCCCCCAAGAGGTAACACTAGAAATAGGTATTAAATTATATTAAATGGCTTGGTTGGCTTCAATTAGTTATGATACATTTGTTAAAGTTTCTTTCTTCTATCTTACAATTTAATATAAGTTCAAAGCTATCAGCTAAATAGAGGGGCAGCATTTCATTTGATTTGAAGATAAATAAAACATTTTGTTCTCTACAAATCAAGAGTTTCTTATAAATTGATAACTTTTAGGAATAAGAAAATTGAGAGTGTCTTTGCATGCATTTTTGTTCCACTTGAGTATTTACTTGCAAAATTCTGCACAGAGGTCAAATGAAGTGAAATTGAGGACGAGCACAGCCTGAGTATATAAAGCCATGAATTCAGTAACCCTGGAGAAGAGATATTCATGTTTCGTTGTGCCTGTGGTAACATAACGGAATTATTTTTCCATAGCACTTCTCCTGTACCTCTTTCTCCTGCTCTGATTACTACCTTTTTCTTCTGTAGGATTATGGAATGTGGGAACGGGGAGATAAGACTAATCAGGGCATTCCGGAATTGAATGCAAGCTCTGTAGGGATGGCCAAGGTAACACTCTTGACCTGTTTGTTCTTCCTTCTGTGCATTTCTACTGCTTTGATTTGGTTCTCAGTCTTTAGGGGTTTGGATTTAATCTGATTAGCATATTTTTCAAAAGTCGACTGCTAGTATGAAATTCAAGTGGCACATATACCCCAGCCTACTGAGATTACAGGTAAAGAATGTAGGTTTCCTTACCCTGAAATGTGCATGAGCCAGAAATTAAGTGCCTTCCTTCCTCATTATCCATTATTATCACCCACAGGTCTAAGGTCTTGCTGTTGTCTGAGCACCTGGATGTGTGATATCCAGTCGTCTTTTCTGGGTTATAAAGAAGGTTGAAGAAAATAACCGCTTTGTAGGGCAGGGCTTACAAGTTCAAGTCTATGGGGTCAGGTCAGGCAAGTAACGTAAACAAATGAAGCAGGCCCGACAGAAAAATATTGAAGGGTACTGGGGACACTGGGAACTTTCTCTAAAGGTATTCCAATTCAAAATCATTTTAAAGATTTATTTAGGCCGAACAGAACACGGCTGTGGGGCAGATTCAGTCCGCCAGCCACCAGTTTACATCTCTTGTCCTAGACATTTCCCTCCCTCCCTCCCTCCCTCCCTCCCGCTCAAGACTGAAGTATATCCTTGGATAGAATACAGACTCTAGAGCTAGAATTTTCAAAGCAACAAGAAATATGTTCGGTGAAGGTCAACTGACAGAAAACGTACTTAATACTAAAAGAATTAACTTTAAGTGGCAGACATGCTAATGTTAGAATTAACACATAAAGGTGAAAGAAAAGCTGTCCGTGAATTTAGTGCGCTCCCCCCCCCCCCCCGCCAATGTTATGAACTTGTTAATATTTTATTTTTCGGTCAAATACTGACTTCATTTGGGGAAATGTTTGTCTATTTTCTCTTTCTTGTTTCTGCAAAGAGCAGCAACGTACAGGAAAGGCCCAATTCCACTGAAAATAAGGATAGAACATGTCTCTAGGACACTTCAGCTGAATTCTAAAGATGTGTATTTCCTCACCTTTGGCAAAACATGTATGCTAGATCGCTTAATGGGAAAGGAGGAATACTGGATAGGGGCATGTCCGTTTACTAGAAAGACAAAGTGATTCATACCTGTGCTTGTAGGCAGCTCTTGAGGCAATTGATGAACTGGACCTTTTTGGAGCCCATGGAGGACGCAAGTCTGTGATCCACGTCCTGCCTGATGACGTCGAACACTGCCAGGTAATAGCTCCAGCCTCTCATGGTCTGGACAGGAGGGAAGGAGACGGATGGAGTAGAAGACCTGGGCTCCGGTCACATTGCTCACCTTTCTTGGTTTTTTTTAAGATTTATTTTTAAGTAATCTCTACACCCAACATGGGGCTCGAACTCACAACCCTGAGATCGAGAGTTGTGTGCTCCACCGACTGAGCCAGCCAGGCACCCCACACTCCTCACCTTTCTAGCTTGGTGGTACTCGGCTTCCTTGAGCTTCAGTTCCCTCATGCATAAAATGGGCATACTGGCACCTTCCCCTCCTATCGCACAGAGCGGTTGTAAGGATCAGAGTAAGTCAACTTAGTTCGTCAGAGCACCCTGCAAGCTGAGAAGTACTGTGTAAACCTAAGACAGAACGACGGCGAAGTATATATATATATGGAGTCAACAATCACAGCGACCTTGTTTGGCTGGAGGCAAAATCTGGTCTGATTTTTGAGCATATAGGTGGTTTCCTCTCAAGTTTCTTTCATGATGCCACCAAATTGAATGACCGGCAAGCAGTAGTTCACTTGGGGAGGGGTGGAGACGGGTGGAAAGGATAGTGGAGGAGAGATGAGATGGGAGAAATGACAAATTAGTAGAACCTGCATGAAATACAAGTCAGAGAAAGGAGTGATTTCTTGCAGATTAGGGGACTCCATTGAACAGACAGTAGGTCACCCATTGCTGGTCAGTCAGCAAACTCTTAGTGAGGGCCCACTGTGTGCCGCATCCCGTGCTGGGGTTATGGGAGTGAGAGCCGTGTAAACTAGTTAGCAGAGAGCTTCTGGAGGGAGTGTGTGTTTCCAGGCAGAGAGCTTAAGGGAGAGCAGCTAGTTAAAGAACTGGGCTTAGGGGTCAGTTCGCTTGAGAAAAATGAAGCTTTATTCTGCAGCTGAAGGGTTCCCCATCTTTACCCCCTTTGCAGCTCATCCATTTTCCCACAATAAATAGTCCTTAATGGGGACTCTGCTGTTTCTTGGGCTGCAGTTTAATAGAGTCGAGCTGATGTGTATCTTAATAATGCCTAGTCCCTAGAGGAAACTGTGTGAGCTCTGTAGCCAGCTGGGCCTGGCTTAGGATCCTTGTTCTGTCACATGAGGCTCTGTGTCTGTGTCTCAGCCCTCATGCGTGAACTGGACAGAGTATCCAAATGCCTTCTTTATAAAATGGGAAAAAAAAATATGTTAACATTTATTTATTTATTATTTATTATTTATTCTAGGAATGCAAAATTGGTTTAACATCTGAAAATCAATTAATGTAGTACACCGTGTTTATATGAGATTTAATACGCTTATGTTTGCAGGGCTCTAGCCCCGTGTCTGTACACATTAGATCCCAAAGTCAGCTCCCTTCCCTTCCCAAACTTATCATTTCACCTTCCTTTAGTTTACAGTGCCTAGTCCAACCACCTTATAATTGAGGCTATATTATAGTGCCACTAAGTAACCCTAGTTCTAGGATTAAAGTAATTCTGTCATTTACCATTTTGCCTGAGTGTTTGTGTGGCCTCTTGGATTTGACTCCTTCACATGGGTTTTGATCACCCAGTCATGTTCCACAGAAGCCAGACATTTCTCTGTGCTGGCCCTGTATGTGTATTCTTCTCTGTCTTTATTTTCACAGCCAGGACACCCTGGCCTGCTGACACAGTAGCCCTTAGTTCCTCCCCTGCATGTCCGAAAGACACAGCAAAGTCAACAGAAGGCCCCCAAGGGAGGGAGCCCAGCAGTTCTCAGCATGGGCTCCAGGCAGTACTGCGCTCTCCCTGACCCTCTCCTCTCCTGCGAGAAACAGGAGTCATTGGCTGGGCAGGTGAGGTCCCCCAGTGGGGGCCATATTGTAGGAAAAAGCTCTGCTCAAAATCGGCAAACTCGTTTAAATGTTTCTTGGGTCTAAGGTCATGGTCTCTAGATACTGTATGCAACTGTTCATGCTTCCCAGATTCAAGCCACCTCTTTGTTTCTCATTCAGTCTATTCTGTTCTCCATGCTGCCAAGAGCATCAACATCTAAGGAGATTGACGCTGGACTTCTTTCCATTATCTCTTTCCCGGCCTTTGCAGTGGAAGATGTGAACCTCGTGAATGTGACCAAAAATGAAATTATTTCCAAGCTCCAGGTAAGGGTTGATCATGCTGGTGCCCTTCTGCCCTGTGTTAAGTGCCCCTTTCATGATGACATGGAGCAGCTCACCCAGGCCTTGGTTCTCCATGAGGTCAGTGGCTTGGTTTATCTAGGCGGAATCCAAAGCCGAGTGTACGGGTGAGAAAACAGTCTCAGACTGATCAAGTGCCCTAGTTCTTTTCCTGGTAGCAGAGCTTGAACTCCAGCCAACTCCATAACCTCTGAACCCCAATTCGTACCCCTCCTGTACTTCTAAAGCAGAGTTTCTTAACCCTTTAGAGATCACAGACTTCTTTGAGAATCTCTTGAGAGGTATAAGGTCCCTGCCAGAAAAAAATGTACACGTCCCAATATCCTCCAACTTTACACACAATTTCTGGGGGGTTGACAATCCCAAAGTTAAATCGAGCTTAAGAAAATCCCTGCTCTGAGGTGAAATGCAGGAACTATGACACAAGATACCAAACTGAGAATGTTATTAAATAGCCCAGGCAACTGAACTTCTCAGTAAAATGATCAAGATGTAAGTTTTCTTTAAAAAAAAAAAAAAAAAAAGTAAGTTTCTTGAGCCAAAATCTTCATATTGATGATCCTACTTAGATTCCGTAAAAAATGCTTTTAGCCCTTGGATACAAAGGGATTGAAGGGTCTCCAGTCATATCCCCAAAGAAGCTATCTCATGGTTTCGTGGAGAAAAAGGAAGCTCTTTTAGCTTGTCCCAGTAGGCAGGGAGTCAGTGCAGGGAATGAAGTGTTTAAAGGAGAGAAGGTTCTTGGCTGGGCCTCCCCAGAACTCCCAGAACTCTATGGGGCTAGCCGCTAGGAGTGCGCCGGCCTCTGCAGCCAGTGCTAAAGGAGCCCCCACGCACTTAAGAAACTGGGGAATGGACACCCAACACTGTGATCCAGGGACTAGGGAGGCAGATCGAGGCCTCAGTGCCACCATCCTTCTTCCTTAACACCTAGGAAGCTGGAGAGGATTACTGGAGCCTGCCCCAAGAAAACCAGCAGCAAGAGCCCTAGGGCAGAGGAAGCCCCACCCACCCCACCCTGCCCCTGCTTCCACCTCGATGCATCCAGAGCCTAATTGTGAGGAGTCTGGGATGTCCTTTTGGTTTTCCAGTCTTTCAAGTCAAAGTAGTCCAATCCAAGTATCTGCCCTGGTGGCTTCTGTGAGCGATGAGGGTCCCTCTGCATCTTTGCGTGATACAGCCAGTCAGAATGAGGGCTGGTCATTCTGTGAACTGAGTAATTACTCTCCCAGCCCTGATACTCAAATGGGAAGTTTTGGCATTCCCTTCTCGGCACTGATCAACCCTGAATTTCCTTGGCTTATTACTTAAAAATAACTTTTTGTATTGATAACAAAGAGCACTTGGTACACATTTCATTACTAAAAGATTCATGGGAATGGGGGTGAAGGGCCAACATGAATCAACATAAAAAGACAAAGAAATTCTTCTCTTTCATCAAATGCACTTTTTTTTTTTTCTTTATCTTCTTAGGGGCGTTATGGATGCTGTCGCTTCCTTCGAGATGGTTATAAAACCCCAAGAGAGGTTGTATTTAAATATTGTTTCGTATGATTCCTTAACTGCTTCATATTTAAATCACCACTGTGGTGTTCTCCCTCTCTTGATTATAAAATTACATGTTAGAATATTGGACAGGGAAGTCTTAATTTTGGAGACAGCAAGGCTGGAGTTAGGCAGTAGAATAATAAGATCATCAGGAGGACAGCAAGCTGGTGGTTTAAAACCAGCCTGTAGGCAGGGACAAACAGTTCTGTGGCTCACATGATGTGTTCAAGAGCAACTGTGGCCTCCCTCTCGAGTTGCTTTGCCATAGTGACTGATAGAGTGATTGCAGTGAAACAGATAGTCTGCTGAGCACTGTGATAGGAAAATTGCTATTTATTTGTTAGCAATCTAGGAAGCTTAATATAATAAACCACCAAGGAGTCTTGTGTACATTTCTGATAGACGTTTCTGAAATTTGACCATGGAAAGCTGCCAGAAATAACATCTCCCCATTATAGCCAACTCCTAATCCTAGCAGCTGCAGAGATGCAGTGATTCAGAAAGCCAGGGAAGCCCAGTGAGGTACAGGGGAATTATATATGTAATCTGACAGCACCTTTCAGAAGGTTTCCTGTTTGATTCCAGGACCCAAACCGATTACATTATGACCCTGCTGAGCTCAAGCTCTTTGAAAACATTGAATGTGAATGGCCTGTGTTCTGGACGTATTTCATAATAGATGGGGTCTTCACCGGAGATGCCGTTCAGGTGAGAACATGCTGGGTGCTGTGTTGACAATCAGCATTTTCATTCCTTCGGTGTGCTGCGTGTTATTAGAACATAAGGTTATGCAAGAATTTAGGGCACCGTTTCAGTTATCTGTCGTCACTTAACGAGCTTTCCCAAAATGTGGTGAATTAAAGCAACGGCTATTTTGTTTATTTGCTCATGATTCCACAGTCTGGGCAGGACTCAGCAGGGACAGGTTGTCTCTGCTTCGCTTGGTGTCAGTTGGTTCACTGGGGCTTGGAGGATCTACTTCTGACATGGCGTCACTCACACGGCCGGCAGCTTGATGCTGCTCTTGGCCCAGGCCTCGCTTCGCCTCCATGTGGCTAGCTTGGGCTTCTCACAGGGTTGTAGTGTCTGAGCAGTGAGGCTTTTCACCCGAGAATGCACAAGCAAGAGCTGCTAAGCTTTCTTCAGGTTTAGGCCCCGAACTGGCAGTGTCCCTCCTGTTGCATTTTTTTTTTTTTAAAGATTTTATTTATTTATTTGACAGAGGCACAGCCAGAGAGGGAACACAAGCAGGGGGAGTGGGAGAGGGAGAAGCAGGCTCCCCACCAAGCAGGGAGCCCGATGCGGGGCTCGATCCCAGGACCCTGCGATCATGACCTGAGCCAAAGGCAGACGCTTAACTGACTGAGCCACCCAGGCGCCCCCTTCTATTGCATTCTAATGTTTAAAGGGTCATGCCACATTCAAGAGGAGGGGACTGCACAAAGGCCTGAGTACTAAGAGGTGGGGTTCATCGGGGACCACAGTCGACCACAGACAGGTCTGGTTGTCCTGTTGTTTTTTTCAGACCAGCCTAGGCTTTTGCTGTCTTCAGCTCTAGTATAAAGGTACTGTCAGCTAACATCTTATTTAATGTAACAGGATTCTAGCCGGTTCCCAGCCTCCAGCCTCACTCCCTGCTGTTTCTCTATACCTGTTGCCAGGGGCATCTTATTAAAAGGCAAATGAGATTATGCTACTGCCTTACTTAAAAGCTTTGAAAGGTTCCTGATTGCCTTCGGATGAATTCCAAGGTCTTCTCCTGTTTTATAAGGCCCCATAAAATCTGGCCCGATTCCTTACTGCTTACTTACTTCCTTGAGTTCTGTGATGCGAGCGCCCTGAAACCCTTTCAGTCCTCTGAAGAGGCCATGCTGTCTCCCCTCTTCTCAAGTGCCCAGGCCCTGCTTTTCTCCCTCAGCTGTCTCTCTCTCCCTCACTTGATCTGCTGCAGATGTCTCTTCTTTCAGAAAGCCTTCCCTGACCCTAAACGCTGGATCGATGCCCCTTTTATACGTCCCACAGCACTTAGCACAGTATGGCCCCTATAGCTGTATTTAGTCTCCCACTCCCTGTCAGAGCACCCTGGTAGAGGTGGTGTCTGTCCAGTTCACTGATACATCCCCTGTGCCTAGTACACAGTAAGTGCCGAGTAGAGATTTGTTCACGCAATGTTCCTTTGTTCGAGACCGATTTCTTTAGCATTTGCTGCCGTGCATACGTTGGTAAGTAGAACAGACCCGGCCTCGTGAAGCTTATGTGAATGACTGACAAACTCAAATGCTTCAGTGTTTTCTTAACCCGTTCAGACCACATGCACTGGGGTGGGACGAGCAATCCAAGGTTTATTTTGGTTTTGAAAGCTTCCTCTGCTCAGAAGTCCTGAGAGGGGTTTCAAAAGTGGCTATAGGGGGGCCAAGGGCAGGCCGCCCCAACACGGGCCACTTTGGCATGAGCATTGCTTTGAGTCAAAAGCAATCAAAACCCAGCAGATTCGGGAAAACCCTTGACCTCCCCCTCAGCTGCCGGCCTGTACCAGCAAGAGAGCTATTAACAGAGGTTCCTCTTTACTTAAGAAACTTCTGTGCATAGCACGGCCACCTTTGTTTTCCAAACATCTCCTCTCTCCTTCCTGCAAATGCCCTTTATTCCCCGTGTGTCCTCAGAACCGCACCCCTCTCCTGAGCCCAGGAGCTCATGTAAGCCACTTGGTGCCTCACTGTCTTTGGAATATCCCATCCGTGTGGATTCCCCGTACATATATATAACTAAGTTTGATTTTCTCCTGTTAATCTGTCTCATGTCAATTTGATTCTTAGTCTAGCTACAGAAGGACCTTGAAGGGCAGAGAAAATTCTTCCTCCCCAACATGGTAGTAAGCTTGAAATGTTAATGTTCCCCCATTGTTGATTCTCACTGTTATGCTTTAGCAATTATCTTGGGTCTTATGTTTTCTGTCTCTTTATCCCAGAACTGAAAGGTCTCAAAAGGATTGAGTTAGAATTTCAATTGTGAGGAAACTTGATAATTATTAGAAACAAAAAAGCTGAGAAGACAAAAAATGTGCTCAGGACCTTATTTTTTAGGTCTCACAGAATTTACTGCTCTTATGCCTATTCTGTCTTTTCCACTTGCTGCCCAATGACCTTTAAAAAATGACACACTTGGGGCGCCTGGGTGGCTCAGTCGTTAAGCGACTGCCTTCGGCTCAGGTCATGATCCCAGGGTCCTGGGATCGAGCTCCGCATCGGGCTCCCTGCTCAGCCAGGAGCCTGCTTCTCCCTCTTCCACTCCCCCTGCTTGTGTTCCCTCTCTAGCTGTCTCTCTGTTTCAAATAAATAAATCTTAAAAAAAAAAAAAAAAAAAAGACACACCCCTGGTCAGATTTTGCTGTCCACAAATTTCAAAAGAAAAAGAAATGAGATATAGAAAGCGTTTGACTAGGCTCTCTAAAGATGAAACGTGTTAAGCACCTGGGTGGCTGGTTAAAGGTTTTCCCTCTTTTGTTTGTTCCCTTTTCATATGTAGGTGGTGGTTGTTGTTTTAATCACTGCCTTTTTAATTGAATGGAAATGTTTATATCAACAGCTTTCATTATATTGAGTAGTGCATCCTAAGAATCGGGGTACATGGATCATAGGTACATACACTTCCTTTTCCTCACATCAGGTGCGCTTTGCAAACATTTCCTGAGCAGTAAGTGCTCGAATGAGGGCCTTTTAAGTGGAAAACTACTGACAGGTAGAACCGGGATGCCCTCCTTAAGGTCTGGCCTCCACTCCAAGAAGCTTATATAGTCTAGCTGGTGAGACACAATTTACGTATGTTGAGAAGTTAAGGGTGAAATATTGAAGTCGTGAGTTAAAGACACACAGAGAAGGCCAGTGCCTTCAGCTCCTTCTAACCTTTGCTGTCAGCAGGAGTGCTGATTCCTCCTGCACTCCCTAACTGGACGGTGTTCATGCATTTCTTGACCCTGTGTCCTACTAATAATCTGTTTGTTGCCCAGAGAGGTGTTTTTCTGTGATGCACTCCCCTGGCAGTATTAATGGCGCCTCTCTCATGCTGTGGGGATGGGGCTTTTTTCTAGGTGCAAGAATACCGAGAGGCCCTGGAGGGAGTATTAATCAGAGGCAAGAACGGGATCCACCTGGTGCCAGAACTGTATGCCATCCCGCCCAACAAGGTAACCAAGCACTGCGTAGCTAGAACGAAGTGGGTTCGTGCTTGGCCTTTTGGTATTTTTCATCCGCCTTTCAGACCTAACACTTTTTGTCCAGCAGTGGTTTCTAAAGCACCACCCTGCGTACGGGGCACAGAGGGGTTACGGTGGCAGCTCTGCCTCTGTGAGGCTGCCGGCTAGTGGGGGACGGAGGGCAGGCACAGCAGCGGTGCTGCAAAATAAGAGGTACAGGCCAGGGGAGACCCCAACACCTGCACGGGGAGGCAGGGGCTGGTGCTTGGGTCGAGGGAGGCCAGAGCCAAGCTGTCTTTTGATCCAGACACTTTGCCTTCTTTGCTTTGCATCAACTATTTTTTTTTTTTTTTAAGATTTTATTTATTTTTTAGAAAGCGAGCGAGAGAGAAACAGCATGAGAGGGGAGAGGGTCAGAGGGAGAAGCAGGCTCCCCGCTGAGCTGGGAGCCCGATGTGGGACTTGACCCCAGGACCCTGGGATCATGACCTGAGCCGAAGGCAGACGCTTAACCATCTGAGCCACCCAGGCGCCCTGCATCAACTATTTCTCATTCAAGATCTTTACAGTCTTTCTTAACACTACTTACATTTCAAATAGCCTTAACACACAATCGGATTGTGAAAGCAATCCTGTACACTGCAGAACATCCAGGATTCTGTAGAAAGAAGAACATACTTCTCTCTGCTCTTACTACCCAAAGATAACCAAACTTACTCCCAAAGAGAACTCTGACTACTTTAGAGACTCTCCTGCCACACTATTATCCTATTTGATTACTTCATTACTGACACACTTTAATTTTGTTCAGTTTATGAGTTTAAGTTCTTCTTAATATTTACTACTGCAGCAAATTTTAACAATCTATTAATAACACCACTAATTAATCCACAAGCAGAGTATGACTCCCCTCATGGTGTGATTTTTCCCTTTTGGAGAAGGATTTCTTCAATTGCTTTGTTTTCTGGAGGGGAGAAAGTGGTCACTAACATTACCCCCAACCAATGTTGTAATGGCAAAAAACCCAAGGTCGGGGGCACCTGGCTGGCTCAGTCAGTAGAGCATGTGACTCTTGATCTTGGGGTCGTGAGTTTGAGCCCCACAATGGGGGTAGAGTTTACTTAAAAAAAAAAAAATACAAAGGTCAGCATGGAGTTTACAATAGAGAAAATTGCAGACTAACTTTTACAATGTGTAGCCAGCACTGTCCATCCCAAAACAACTGTAGCTAATTCTGATGAGGCAGAAGCCCCCAGTGGATCCAGCTTGTTGAGTCCCTGAAGGAAAATTAGTGATCAGATAGTACAGTAGTGTTTTTCCTCAATAAATAGTGCCACCTTCTGGTAATTTTCTTGCAAAGGCACACAGAGTTTATGAGCCCCTGGGGATAACAAGACGGGAGAAAGCTGACTTAGCTTCCGGCGATGCCCTGCCGTGGCTGTAGGGTGATGTTTTAGATCATTGTACCCATAATACAGACAAGTGTAAGCATGAGCTGTGGAACTTCTTGTTGCCCGGAGCTGTGTGCAAAGGAGGCAGGCCAGGCTTCACGTGCCTGTGTCTGTCTTCCGCCATCTGTGTGCTTGTGGACAGAGCACCGGCCTGGAGTCAGGCCTGGATGTGAGTGCCACTTCTACCGCGTTGAGCCATGTGGCCCCCACACAAAGGCCTTAGCGCTGCGGCCTCCCTCCCGCAGCTCTCACACAGAATTGGCCTGGAGGATCGAATGAGTGGCATTTTGTAAATCCTCAGTGCGCTCCCCAGTAGGCAGTGATGTTGGCCTTCTTATCCTCTGACATTCTGACTTTGGGTTTTTCTCTCTTTGCCAGGTTGACGAAGAGTATAAGAATCCCCACACAGTGGACAGAGTCCCTCTGGGGAAGCTGCCCCATCTGTGGGGTCAGTCCCTGTACATCCTCAGCTCGCTGTTGGCAGAGGTAGGGGACTTGGGGACTTCACAGACTGGAAACCATCTGATTCGAGGTATAGGGGACCCCGGAAGAGCATAGGGGCTCTCTGCCCCATGTGGCTGTGAATGTCTTTGGCATCTCATAGTTTTAAAGTCAGCTGGAGCGGGTCAGCTCTGAGGCTTGCCACCTGGGCTTGTGTGTCCATATTTACACGAAACTACTTCAGAGTCAGCTGCATGCCAAGCACTCCCGTCACCCCCCGACCCCCATATTCCTGGTCTGTGGCTGGAACCAGACGATGTATGGGTGATGTTATCAGATGGGTTCATCTGTCCTCAGAGGCTCTGCCCAGCTGACTACCCTGGGCCCCTGGGGAGAGGTGTGGATGAAAGAGTCCAGGAGAAGAGCTGGAAGCTCCAGCCTGTTAGGCTGGCCTAGTCCTGGGTGTTCTGTCAGACTCTAGAAGTGGGGAGGGCGTGTGTGGGGGGGGAGTGCGGGGAATGAGTTGTGGGACCCATACCACTGGGGTTCCCGGTGTGTAAAAGGAGACCGAAAGTAAAGCTGTCACAGTGGAAGTGGCCCTTAGGAGCTGTGGATGCTGAGGTGGGCCACTTGTTTCATGGCTGTGATTGCCTCCTCAATTTCATGGTCATGTCCTTGGGGGTAGGGACTGTGTCTTCAACTTCTGTCTTTATTAGTAGGGAAAACCATGTCTATCTCTTGGAAAGCCAGCTCTGCCTCTGACTAGCTCCCTGACCTCGCGAGCCTCAGTCTCCTCATCTGTAAAGAGGCTGGGCTTGATCATTTCTGCTATACTTTCCAGCTCCAGTTGCTGGGTCAGTGGCATGAGGAACAAACAACTCTGCTCCCATTGCCTCCTCGTCACTGGAAAGGCCTTCAGTTAGGCCCAGCATTAGGTCCGATGCCTCCTCAGAACTCCCAGAGCACCTTGATGCCCTCCCTGAGGACTCCGGTCATTTATAGAAGATGTGAGGAGATCCATGTTCAAACAGCACCCCGTGCCAGCAGGGAGGAGAGCTTTGTGTTTCAGAACAGTCAGCCCAGGACCAAGTCCTTGCCTGCCACCTAGCTTAAGGGCATTACCTCAGTTTCCCCACCTGTAAAATGCTCATGGTAGTACCTCCCTGTCACGAGGCCTGAATGGGACCATGCACGTACAGGGGTTCAGCACAGGACCCGGCGTGGAGTAAGGGCTCAGGAGGTAGGAGTCACCGTTGTTCTTTTCAGTCACGCAAGATGTTGGCGTGTGTGACTAGCCCTGGAGAGCGAGGTGCTGAAAGCACAATATGTTTATCAGTGGCTATCTAAATGGTGTACTGCGTTTCAGAGAAGATAAGCAATTGACTTGGAAAGCATAAAGGAATAAAACACTGAATATTTTGAGCCCCCAAATGTTTCATTTTCCAAGTTGGGTTTAAGGTGAAATTTCGTTCAGTGTTTTACAGTGTTAATGCTCCTCTTTTCCTAGGGATTCCTTGCCACCGGGGAAATCGATCCCTTAAACAGAAGATTTTCCACTTCCGTCAAACCTGACGTTGTAGTACAAGGTTTGTGAGCATGTTTCCTATTCATATTTAACTGTGTAAAGCCAATGTTATTTTTAATGCCAAAGATCCCCTAGTTTCCTATTCTGTTTAAAAAGTACGTATGTGTGCTTTAGCGTATATCAGTTCTGTGACATCCCTTCTATAACTCACTAGCTCCCAAAGGCAGCGGTACTCTTCCCAGCCACAAAGTTACTTTCTACAAAGCATTTGTTTTCTCAAATCTAAATCTTGATGGCAGTTCGGGCACAAGTGATTCACTGAGCATCATTTTTCACTGCAGTTGTTTAAAAAGTAGAACATGACCCTGGTCGAAACTCAAAACCCAAGTGAAGTTTCACTCCTTCCTTCCTTTGAGGTCTGACTTCTCTCCAGAGTCGCAGGCCCGTATTTTCACCTGCCTCCCCTCCTGTCCAGCTAGCAGCTCTTCCAGAGACGTGGAAGGCCTGGACTGCGGCTAGCTCTGCCTAGCCTGGCGATTTTACCTCTCCGTGCCTCGGGGTTGTCGTAACTGCTGCCCCCTCACCGGGTGACCTTGAGATGCGCTGCGATTGTCACAAGGAGAGCCCTCAGTGCAGGTCCTCGCTCACCAAATCCCCTCTCCCTTCCCTCCTGGGGAGGGCTCCTGAGGAGCTCACGTGCCTCACAGAGCAACTTAGGCACCAGCTAATATCCGAGGAGGTTGTGTATGTGCCTTATTTCCTCTCAATTACACCATACATTTCTTTTTTACAGAGGGGGGAGGGGAGAGCAGGGGCAGAGGGAGAGGGAGCGAGAGAATCCTAAGCAGGCTCCATGCCCAGCACGGAGCCCGACATGGGGCTCGATCTCACGACCCTGAGATCATGACCTGAGCCGGACACTTAACCGATGGAGCCATCCAGGTGCCCTACGCCATACATTTCTTAAGGACCAGGCCTGTATTATTCTTGTAGCTTCTGTGTTGATTGACACACACCCACTCAGTAGATTAACAACAATTATTGAACAAATGCAAGGCAGTCCTCTTTGTGGCCACGGACTGGTTCCCCTGCGCCTGCCTGGGATGCGGCAAGGGGCCCGGCGGGGCATCATCCAGTCAGTACTGTGGTCCGGGCCCTCAGGGGCACACCCGGCGGGCACAACATTTTGACCAGACAGAAATTGTGACAATTAGAATTATCCTCCCCATCTTACACGTGAGCCTTCCAGGTTAGCTCGCTCAGGGCCCCAGAGCCGGCAGCTGGAGGCGCGAACTCCGTGCTGATGTCCAAGTGGAGTGACCCAGCCTGACTCCGTCCGCAGGCGGCGCTTACCCCGCACACGTGCTGCCGAGCGAGCCCTTCAGTCACGAGGCCGCCTTGCCAAGCACAGGCTGGGGCCCGCTGATGGGTCTTCGGCGGCCAGTGTTGTCTCAGTGTAACAGAAGAGAACAGAAACGGAAGAGAAGATACAAGAAGGTCTGGCCCGGGGGCAGGAGAAGTACCGTTTCAGGAACTTGCCTGCACATGGCTGTATCACATCAGAGGCTCACGGGGGTCAGGCAAACCACTGCTCTAGAAGAGTCACCTGTACGGAGAGTGACCGCTGATCTCTGCACGGCGTTGGAAGCTTCAGAAGAGAAAGATGTGGAGGGAGGCCACCCACCCGGTCCTACATGGCTGATGTTCGCATTTGCTGCGAGTGGCTTCCCCACAGGACCTTGTTATGAAGCTCAGATATCATGGCTATGAAAACACTTTGAGAAAGGATCATGTGCTATGTAAATAAGGAGGTGGCCTTCAGGTCTCCGTGGCATTTATGTGTATTGTACATTCAGGGCCACCGGCCTATAGGTACAGTGCTGGGGCTCAGTGGGCTACCTTAACAGTAGCCTGACCACACCCCGCACCCCCAGTTCCCCGTGGGCTCTACCGCAGCCGAACACACCAGCACCCACTCTCTGTGGCCGGAATGCCCCTCCACCAGTGCCCTTCCCAGGACTCCTGCCCTCTGCCAGAGCACTGTTCTTCTCTTAAAAGCCGCATTCAAAGCAGAACTGGTGCAGGAGGTGCAGGGCTCCAAGTCCCCGCTCAGGCCCCCACATCCCAGGCATGCGAGTTCCCTGCCTGCCGGAGAGCCAGATGGCCAGCCGCACTTACCAGAGGTGGGGCCCAGGCCAGCCCGTTCGGGGTGCAGGGCCCGGCTCCGGGGTGGCTCTTCCCCCACCAGCCAGAGCCTGTGCTGTGCTTCTGGGCCAGGCTGCACCACCAGCCACCAGCAGCCCCACTTTCCCCTCTCTCGGGGGGGCGACCTCCCCGCCCTCTCCGTTGGTCGGAGCATCCCCTGCTAGCGTACACCACAGTACTGCTCTTTTCTGTCCCTTGCGAACAGGAGCTCCGGCTTCTCCTGGCGTCCTCCCCCACGCAGAGCGGTTTCTGCTTCTCACCCCATGTGAAAAGAACACCAGACAGGTTTAGAATAAATGCAGACCCGCCGGGAGGCAAGACATCATTTGAGATGTGGTAATTTGGCTCAGGACCTGTTGAAGACCATTTCTAGAAGTCTCTTATCAGACTGTCTGGTACACTGAGGGCACTTAATAAAAACACAGCATGGGGGTTGGCGAGGTGAGGCCAGAGAGAACTGGGAAGAGCGGCAGGACAATTGCTGTTATTTTCAAAGCCACCCAGTGTGTGGAGAGCATGCTGATGCGTATGTCACAGGCCAGAGGAAAGATGGGTCAGTAATGTATTCTCCACGTGAGGAGACAAAGGGCCACGGTCTAATGCAGATGCTACGCTCTTATTCTTATTCACAGTTACTGTTCTGGCAGAAAACAGCCACATTAAGGACTTGCTGAGAAAACACGGGGTAAACGTCCAGAGTATTGCTGACATTCATCCAATCCGAGTCCAGCCAGGCCGGATTCTTAGTCACATATATGCCAAGCTTGGTAGGTTTGGGGCAACAGCTGGGTGGCTTTGGCGAGGGGGCATCTTGGTTCTAGGTTTGGGGTCTGGGGGGACGGATAGGTATGAATTGTGAAGAATTGGGCAAGGCACCAAAGCACGTGGTTCGACGTCTCTGAAGTGAAGAGGAGCTGCAGACGAACATGTTCTCATGCTCGTTCACTAGATGTCGCCCCGGCTTGGCTGCGCCCTTTGCCAGATAGGTTGTAAAACAAGGCTCCGTCTTTGAAAATTCGCAATTGGAACAGTCATTTGTGTCTTGATACGTTTCTAATTTTTTTATCTGCGGTCTCAGAAAATGCTCCTTTACCCGTTAAAATGGGAGGGGGAATTCTCTTTTTCTAAAATCTAACTTAGTAGGCTCAATATGAAATAAATTAGAAGTAAACATTAATAAAGTTCTATCAGTAGTTTTATTCCATATAGATGTTGAACTGGGTGCTGTCTATACATGCATGAAGAGAAGGTGGTGGGGTTTGTTTTTAATTCATCCCTGTCCCATTTTAAAGAAGGATCGATGGTATTAAAAAAACCAAACCCCGGAATGGGTTAACATGAACATAAGCCCAGTCTTAGCCAGAGTCGCTTGGATTACATGTTACCATATTGGCTCTCACTCTGATTTCTCTTTTGTTTTTCAAATAGGACGGAATAAGAATATGAAATTGAGTGGGCGACCGTATCGGCACATTGGCGTCCTTGGAACATCTAAGCTATATGTGATTAGGAACCAAATCTTTACTTTCACACCCCAGGTGAGCAGAGCAGGCCAGTAGCAAAGCCATATGCATCCTCTGATTAAGTTCCTTTTCTTCTTGGTGAGCTGCTGTGGATGCGGCAGAATGAGCATGCGTGTGCTCAGATAGCAATGGGTAGTGTGACACCCAGCACCTGGTACAATTCTTTACTCCCTGTAGGGGCTCAGTAGGTGTGGCTTGAAGCAGACTGAGGGTGCCATCACTTCCAGGCATGAGGAGTAGGAAAATTGACACCGCATTCCAAAATTGCTAGTTACCTGTCCCTTGACTTGCCTCCCTCATGCCCCTGGTAGCAGTAGTCCCTCACCCTTGCTTGGGCTGTCTGAAGACTGGGGAACACACAGCCTGTCTGATTTTCAGGTCCCAACCTGCTTGACGAGATCCCGAATATACCGATTGTAGAACTTTTTTTCAGAGTTTTTGGTTACAAAGGAAAGTAGCCCTGTGGAACCCAGACAAATGTTTTCCATCCATTTGGCTAGCTAGAAAGATCAGCTGTGGGCTCACTTCGTCACTGTGGGCATGGCCCCCCACCAGCCGGGCACACTGTCAGCCATGGGGTCCCGGGTCAGTAGCCCCAAGTCGTTCTTTCTCACCCTAACCCATGTTGCTCGCTTGAATCTTGTGAGTTATTTCCCTGTGTAACAAATTTCATACCAGGGGCACCTGGGTGGCTCAGTCGTTAAGCGTCTGCCTTCGGCTCAGGTCATGGTCCCGGGGTCCTGGGATTGAGCCCTGCATCGGGCTCCCTGCTCGGCGGGAAGCCTGCTTCTCCCTCTTCCTCTCCCCCCTGCTTGTGTTCCCTCTCTCGCTGTGTCTCTCTCTGTCAAATAAATAAAATCTTTAAAAAAACAAAAAAACAAATTTCGGACCAGAGCTGAGTGTGGACTAGTCCAGAGGCTAGGAGAACAGTTTGATTTTCATCGGCACCAGGTGGTAGTGCCTTTAGTTCGCATTAACCAGGCCATCCATCGGGTAAACACAGTCTCCACGTCTCACCTGCTCCCAGTGCCCTCCCTTCCCTCACTTGGAAATCCTCCGAGCCCAGCAGCCGTAGAATGAGTAGAATTTAAGGAGTTATTGATTTCCTTTCAGGGACAGCGGTGTTGGGCCAGGTGCTTAAGCCCTCATCGGAGAAGCTATAACTAGATCTGGCCACGCACCTTTCCCTTCCATGCTAATGGAGCTGCGGCTCCTGGGCAGGCAACAGATCGATTTTTGCCTGATGGCAAGAGCCCCATGATAGGGGCGGATTACAGCCAGGATTGAGCCTCTTCTCTGGAAACAAAATGCAAGGATTAGTGCTGCCGTGAATGACAGCTGGGGTTGTGTCGAGGGAATGAAGGACAGCCTTTTACTGGGCCTGATCTGACTTGCAGTTCACCGACCAGCATCACTTCTACCTGGCCCTGGACAATGAGATGATCGTGGAGATGCTGAGGATCGAGCTGGCCTACCTGTGCACCTGCTGGCGGATGACGGGCAGACCCACGCTCACCTTCCCCATCACCCACACCATGCTCAGTAACTGCGTGAACTTGATCTGCCTGATTCATGTCCCACGCTCACCTTCCCCATCACCCACACCATGCTCAGTAACTGCGTGAACTTGATCTGCCTGATTCATGTCCCACGCTCACCTTCCCCATCACCCACACCATGCTCAGTAACTGCGTGAACTTGATCTGCCTGATTCATGTCCCACAGTTGCTTTGGGCCCTTTCCAAAATGTTTAAAACGAGTCCCATAGACAAAGCTAAGTACTGAAGGGGGTTCTTAGCAGTTTGGTTTCTGAGCTTAGGAATCTTTCATAGTATTTTAATTAGATTGTATTGACGAAAATGTTTCTGCGCATGCCCCCAAAACCAAAAAGTATTCCCAGATTAAGTAAACTCATTTGTCTTTTTCTCCCCCACCCTTAGCAAATGATGGCTCAGACATTCATTCTGCAGTTCTTTCTACAATTAGAAAACTAGAGGATGGATATTTTGGAGGAGCCAGGTAATTTGTGATTTTTTTTTTTTTAAAGTATCAGCGACCTTTCTTGAAAGTCTTTTGCTGCCCTTCTCCCACTTTTCATATCAATTGCTGAACATGAGAAGCATGAAGCTTTAGACTAAAAAAGAAGTTAAATCCTACCCATTCACCCATGTGGAACTGGAATCGTCTCAAAAGCAGCTTTCTGTGGGTGTTGGTGAAGCTTTTACGGGTGCCAGGAGGCTTGGGGCATAGGTAGATGAACGTACCAAGTCTCTCTGAGGTGGCATTCTTGGATTGCATGTATGGGATGCTGTGCCTGTTTCTGGTAAAGGGCCTGGAAGAAAACACCCAGTGCCTAGGTCTGGCAGGTGCTCAGTAAACATTCCTTGAATTGACTTGAGTGTGCTGTCACCTGAAGAATAATTCACAGAACTTTATAAATTCCCTAGGTGGCCCTCAGAGCAGGGCACCTGAAGGGGCCTGCCTAGACCATTGTCCCCTCATCCTCAGTGGAGCAATACGTACTCCGGTTTGCAGGCCCACAGTACCAGCTGCTCCCCGGTAGTACTGGTAAGCGCCTTGAGTGATAGGGGGCTCACCTCCTGGGAAAACCGATTCCATTTTTCTACCCTCTGTCACAAGGCAGAGGTTTTCTCGATAGCATCTGTGCCCAGATCTCTCCAAATCCCCTGGAATATGCAAGAAGGGTTCTAAGAGAACCTCACTGTACAGCCGGCCCTGAGTGAGGTGTGACCCTTCTGGGCCCTGAAGTCTTCCATTGGGTCCCTGATAGAATGCCAGTTGCTAAGTGTTTGGGCATTGAAGTCAGCCGTCCTCACATCTTCCCACACTGGGGACCCTGCTGCCACTGTAATGTTTTTTAAAACTGCGGTAAAGGGGCGCCTAGGTGCCTCAGTCATTAAGCGTCTGCCTTCGGCTCAGGTCATGATCTCAGGGTCCTGGGATCGAGCCCCGCATCAGGCTCCCTGCTCAGCGGGAAGCCTTCTTCTCCCTCTCCCACTCCCCCTGCTTGTATTCCCTCTCTCACTGTGTCTCTTTCTGTCAAATAAATAAAATCTTAAAAAAAAGAAAAAGAAAACCGGTAAAATGCACATACTGTAAAATTTACCATCTTAGCCATTTTAAAGTGTACAGTTCAGGAATGTTACATACATTCACATGGTTGTGCAACCAATCTCCAGGACTCTTTTCATCTTGCAAAACTGAAATTCTTTCCCCATGAAACAACAACGCCCCCGTTCTCCTTGCCCCAGCCCCTGGCAACCGCCATTGTACTTTCCGTCTCTAGGTGTCTCATCTGAGTGGACTCATGCAATACGTTTTTTTGTACCTGGCATATTTCACTTAGCCTGATGTCCTCAGAGTTGAGTCACTGTATTTCTAAGTGCTGGGAGTAGCAGCTCTGCTCACAGAGCTTACTGCGGGGTTTTGCTGCAGACATGAATGGCCCTCATTCCGAGCTTCTCCTGGGAGTGTCCGCGAGACTGTCCCCAGCATTTTGCCATCCACATTTCCAGCGCTAGCACCATAACTGCACTTGACATGCACTTTTGTACATTTCACGTCCAGTTTGGATAAGCTACCACCTGGTGGATGGCATCACAGCCAAGAGAAAATACCATACACCCGTAATTAACTGCTTTTCAGAATAAACTCGTGAATTTAATCATTGTCAAAAAGGATACTGTCTGCAGTTAATTGCTCACTTGCAGTCCATCTTGTGTTGCTTTGTGTGCATCGTCTGATTGAGTCTTCACTTTGTCACGTGGTGGGCTGTATTCCTATTTTATAGACATTGGGCTGTAGGCTCAGTAGAGCAAGGTGCACAAGATGAATAGGTGCAGGAGCTCTGTATGAACACAGAAACCAGGCTCTGATCTCCATGCCGAGCTGAACGAGGGCTTAAAAATTTCAGGAGGGTCTCCTGTTTCTAGAGTATGGCAGACGACTCAGAGAACCGTGGAAAGAAACAGGAATGTCTAGGCTCCATGGGCTACCTTTCCTATTAAGTTCTTGATAATTAAAACTGAATCTCATTTTGGCTTTTCCTTAGGCTTGAGGGTCTTTAAAAAGCTGAATTCACCCTGGATGCCGGACTTTCCCTCTGGACCCACCTGGGGTAGCTTGCTATCCTTTGTAAATTACTGCCATTCCACCTTTGACCTGACTCCTTTCAACTTCCATCAGAGAGAAACTTGCCATTGTCTTCTTTTGCACACTCGCTTGTACCTCACTTCCTCCTGTCCCCAGTCTCAAGGCAAAAGAGTCAATAGAACGGGCAGGGCCCCAGAGGGAAAAAGATTTTACTTCATTAAACGAAAGGCTTTTCTTTCCGTCCCTCAGGCCATGTTTCTTGAAGTAGTCCATTTGCCCACTGAAGCTCCTGCACCCACGAATTCACTTGCACCTCGTGCTTCATTCAGTGTGCTCCTTAAACTGTTTCTCTCAGCCTTTTCAACTAAGTCCTCATCTGCTGCTGGTGGCTCCAGATCCTATTGTCTTCTGCCTCCAGAGCTACCTTTTTTTTTTTTTTTAAAGGTTTTATTTATTTGAAAGAGAGTGAGTACGGGGAGGAGCAGAGGGAGAAGGACAAGCCGACTCTGCACTGAGCTCAGAGCCCGCCCTGGGGCTCGATCCCAGGACCCTGAGATCACGACCTGAGCTGAAATCAAAAGTCAGACGCTAAACCGCTAAACCGACTGAGCCACCCAGGTGCCCCTGGAGCTAACATTTTAAGAAGTACACAGTGGCAGCTTTCTGTACGGTGGCCCTCCCTCATGCTCCCTGAACCTGGGACCCCACACTGCCAAACCCAGCTTGTAGTTTTCAGTGGAACTTTTCCCAGCCTGAAAATGTAATAAGGCCACTCTGGGCACCTGCTCCGGTCTGGGGATGGCCCCCTATCACATTCCTTCTAGAAAGAACTTTGCCTTCTGAGACTGCCTCCTCTCATATGCCTGTTCCTGGGTGACTGTATTGCATGGTAGGTTTTGTTCTGGTCCAGTTGTTTTAGGGCAGAAAACCCCCCCAAGGCTTGGTTTGGTTCTGGTTAAAAGTGGTTTAGTCAATCTGTTTTGTAAAACTTTGGTTGGTTCTGTAAAATAGACTTCTGTTTGTGTTGGGTTTGGGAGTAAGAAATCAGCATGATTCACTTTGGCTTTTAATATGCTATGTGCTCCCACTTTATACTTGGTATTGAATTTTTGTTTTAATTTCTTGGCTGACTACTTATGTGGGGCGATCTGCAGTGACGTATTTATCAATTCTGGCAGAAGCACCATCTGGTTGAAAAGTCTCTCTCTGATTCATAGTGGAAGTTTGTCCACATGCACCTGTATCTCTAACATAGAGTCTCCTTGGCAGAGTAAAATTAGGGAGCCTTTCGGAATTTCTTACCACGTCTTTCTACACATATCTGACCTTCCTGGATCCAGACTGTGATGAGAAGTTGTTTGATGATGCCAGCGAAGGGAGCTTCAGTCCCGATTCAGATTTGGGAGGGTATTTGGAAGACACCTATAATCAAGGTACGGCTTGGAATGCCTTGGCAGGTGGTTCATTGAATTTATTTAAACCTTGGCATTGTGATAAAATTGCCCCGAGACTCAAGCACAGAAAATGATTGGTAATTAACATAACAAAAAAGAGGCTTTGGAAACTTGCATCTATTAAAATGAATAAAATGCCAGTTTAAAAATCTAAACTGCCGAAGTGGGGCTTTTTTTAAACCAGAGGGACAAAGAGTTTCAGGAATGAGGATTCTTGACAAAATATATTCTAAAGACAGAAACACAACTGCTTGAATTTTCAAAGGAATGGTAGAGTGATCTAGGTTTGGTTGGATATGAGGGATGAAATCCATCCTATGCATATAATATTTCTCAAACTGAACAAGGTTTTGGGTTGAAGTGACTGGTTTTTACTTTTACATAGTACGTGGAATTGGGGCTGGGCATTCCATAGTGCTTAGTTCACTCGTGACCAATTAAAAGATCAGATGTCCGCTGCTGGTCCTCAGGTTTTCATATGCATTCAGTTCATCTTGGTACGATGTGTATCTATCTTGACCTATATTTTCTTTTCCTAGGATGAAGAGCTTCCAAACAATAACTTTATAAACATGTACATTATCTTTGTAAATGTCTTTACCCTCCAGGAGTGGGGGTACAAATATCTATATCAAAATGTTGTCTCCCACTGAATCTCCTCAGCGCCACGTGCTACACACAGTCGCTATGACACATCGAGAATATTTCTGCAGCTTGTTTTCACTGGCTCTTTCTCTTGCCTGTCCAGTTACAGAAAGCGAAGATGAACTTGACCAGTATATCAACCACCTCCTACAAAGCACATCCTTGAAGTGCTATCTGCCCCCTCTTTGTAAGAAGACAGAAGACAGCCATGTTTTCAGTGCCATCCACTCCACCCGGGATATACTTTCCGTGATGGCAAAAGCAAAGGGTTTGGAAATTCCATGTGCGTTATTAACTCTTTTTGGCCTGTTAAAATAACTTCTCAGAGTAATGCATGAGCATAATTTAAAAGTCAGAGAATTCTAGAAGACAACAAAATGCAGAGGTTTCCTGCCTCCACCCTCCCCTCCCCACTGACCCAGTCCTTCTACAGAGGGGCAACCACTTTCAACTGGCATTTACATATCTCTGCTTTTCTAAAACAATGTGTGTATCTTGCCTTCTTTTGATGCGTCGACTTGATTCAGTATCTGTTGGCCTTCTCTTATGTGGATGAGGATTCAGTTGTCCTAAATCACTACTCCTCTACTTCGCTTCCCATAACCTAGTGATGTCATTGTATTAAAGCGGAGTTAAATCACTATTCGTTCTTTATATTATCGTATGTATGCAAATATTATTCTCAACTGAGCATTATAGTATACTGTGATTGTACTATCTTTATTTTTTGGTTTTTCTAAAGTTAATACTAAATTTAAAGTTAACTTTAAAAGACAGTAATACTATTAACTTTATTAAAGGTTGCTCTATCTTTTCATTTTGCTTTGCTTCCTTTCCCAACTTCCCAGGGGCCCACAATACAAATTTCCACAAGGTCAGTCATATCCATGAGTTTGTCATCTGTACTACTTAGCTTCCACGAGTCTCCTTCTGTCCGGTTGATGGTTCTCCAGGCCCGTTGCATACCTGGCATCCTGGGACTTCTCTTTTATCTCCGTAATCTCTATTGCTTATCTCTTCAGTTGGCCTCCCTGGTTCCTGAATCTGGCATGTTCCTCTTCCTTGATTTCTTCCTCTAGTGGAACACATTCCAGAACAGTTTCGAAGGGTTAAAAAAAACAACAACTGGTACAATGGCAGAGGGGCGGGCACAGCAATGACAGCCCTCAACCTGCTCGTTTCTGAAGTTCACTGCCCCTTTTGCCTGCTTGCCTCCATGTCTGGGTTGTCAACTTTATCCTGGGATCTTCCCTCACCAGCATCCTGGAGAGTTTCTGGAGACTTCCTGTCTCCTGGGTTGGCTCTCCTATTTTCTGTGTCTCTACTTTTCCTGTTTCTTAGCTTACTCTCTTATTTTGGTCAAGACATCCAGCAGTTTCCTGAGAAACGTGGTGGGGAGAATTGTCAAGACTTTGCGAGTCTGAAAACACCTACAAATATTCTGTATAACCATTTGAGAGTTTGGGTATAGAATTCTAGATTGAAAATGAATTTTTCATCAGGATTTTGAAAGCACTGCTTCACTGTCCTTTTGTTATCAGTGTTGCTGTTGAGAAATCTAAACCCATTCTGATGTTTGATCCTTCACAAAAACTGTTTTTCTCTTTGAAATTTTTTTAGGATCTTCTGTGCTTCCAGGTTGTGAAACTTCAGTGATATGCCTGGATCAGGGTCTATTTTCATCCACTGTGTGGAGGCTCAGTGCGCCCTTTCAACCTGGAAACTTATGTTTTTCAGTCCTGTGAAGTTTTTCTGAAAAATTTCTTGACTCATTTCCTTCCCTACATTTACTCTGTTCTCTCTTGCTGGTACTCTCGGATTCCAGTGTTGACCTCCTGGAGAAGGCTTTATAGTTTCTCTTCAGTCTTCCATTTCTCTGTCTTTTGCTCTGTTCTGAGGGCTATTGCTTCAACTTTTTGTTCCAACCCCTCAGTTGAGTTTTTGTACTTTGGCTATTATGTTTTCAATCTCTGTTCCCTGAATTGCATCCATTCTTGTTTTGTGCATGCAATTCAATTTCGTACTACTCTAAGAATATTAATAGCAGGGCCTTTGGGTTTGGTTTTTACATTTTCCTTTCCCTAAATGGTTTCCAGGTCCCCCAAGTCAACATTTCCTGTTTGGGTTTTGGTCTTCCATGTTAGTCGTTCCTCAAATGCTGGGTGTTCCTTGGTTATCGGCTCACGCATGCCAGTCTCTCAGCGTGGAGGTGTGGGCCCTGGGGGATTAATGGGTATAGGCTGGGTAGATTTCCCAGAGATAGTCTACAGTCTCTTTTGTGATCTCCTTTTTGACAGGTCAGGGTCTGGTTGCATGGAGCTGTTTGGTCGCTTATTCCACCTGAGGACTGTGCCCAGTCCTTTAGACATGCCACATGCCCTGCCTCCTGCTTTTACCCCTTCAAAGTGCCCTCTAGTCTTCTGTTCAGGTGAGCAAGGCAGTTGCCGAGCTGTATGGATTGGAGGAAGGTATCTAGGGAGCTCACTGCTTCTTACGCAGCTTCTCTCCAGTCTTCCTTATTTCTGGATACCCCTTCCAGACCCCCCAATTCTCGAGGTGTATGGGGCAGCAAGCTCCTGAACCTTCTAAGGATTCTCTGATCTAAACCTGACTGGCTGTTAGTTGTTCCCACTGCAGACTTGGGGTTTGGTTGCCTTGTGTCTGCTCAGTCCATTATCTTTCCTTCATCAGCTTTCCCGCTTCCAAAATGTCACTACTACTGTCTTCTCTCCCGCTTTTCCCTCTTCTTGAGGATTTGTCTTAAAAAAAAAATTAGGGGCGGGCGCCTGGGTGGCTCAGTTGGTTAAGCGACTGCCTTCGGCTCAGGTCATGATCCTGGAGTCCCGGGATCGAGTCCCGCATCGGACTCCCTGCTCAGGGGGGAGTCTGCTTCTCCCTCTGACCCTCCTCCCTCTCATGCTCTCTGTCTCTCATTCTCTCTCTCTAAAATAAATAAATAAAATCTTTAAAAAAAAAAAAAAATTAGGGGCGCCTGGGTGGCTCAGTCGGTTGAGTGTGTGCCTTGGGCTCGGGTCATGATCCTGGGGTCCTGGGATTGATCCCCTGCTCAGCAGGAAGCCTGCTCCTCCTTCCCACTCGTGCTCTCTCTTGCTACCTCTCTCTCTCTCAAATAAATAAATGAATAAAATATTTAAAATTTTTTTTTTAATTAAGAAAATTATTTTCTGCCATGTTAGTGGGGGTTTGAGAGGAAGTAAAATTAAAATGTGTGTGTCCTTTACTAGTGTAACCTGGAGGTCTATAAGTGCCTTTTAAATATGCCTCATCTCTATTTGGAAAGCCCCCTATTTTCCCAAGGTAATATGATCTAGCCTGGAAGACACAGATGGCTTGATGAATAAGTACTGATAATGGTAGTATCCAAAGGTGGTGAAACACCAGAAGCTCCAACACGGGGCACTGGCAAAGTGAAATGCACACCGGACTCCCGGGAGCTGGATGCCTTAATTACGAGAGGGCCAGTGACCTTGCTCACATGCTCTTCCTTCCTGGTTCTCAGTCTCCTCGGCTGAAAGACAAAGGTCGGCCTCAGTCATTTCTAAGGCTCCTTTCAGTCCTCAGATGCTATGTCATTTCCCCGGAATTCCAGGAGGGAAAAGGGAAATTCAGCCCCTTAAAGCAAGATCCGTGTCCTGCTCAGTTCTTGTTCCCAGATTTAGCACATGATGTGGCTACATGGTACATTCTTGCTGATATTAATTAAACTAAGTAAGTAATCGTTCCTTCAGTTGGTTTGTATTGGATAAGGAGTAGCCACCGCACCTCTCAAAAGAAGTATCTTATCCTTCCTCCTCCTCAGAAGGGCTTTATTCTTTTGTTTTCCAGTTGTTCCCATGACTTTGCCAACTAAAGTTCTGAGTGCCCACCGTAAATCACTAAATCTTGTTGATTCTCCTCAGCCACTCCTAAAAAAGGTAAAGTATTTAGAATCACTTTTTTTTTTAAAGTGTAATATTTTTCAATGCTGGTGTAGTCCTAAGAACTCTTTTACATGGTTGAACTTGAGAGAGCATATTTTTTGATGTCTAGGACTTTGGGGATTGGAAGTTCTGGGTTTCATTGGGAACCCACACACTTAGTTGTCTGTAGTCTGCCTTGTGTCCATATCCACAATGCATCAGAATCTGTCACACTAGAGGAAATAAGCTAGCTCACTACCAGGCTGGGTAGATTGCCAGCCAGCCAAGGCTGGGCCATTTGCAGAGCAGGGTACAAAATGAGAAAAAATCCCTAAGGAGAATAAAATCTCAGGGTGTTCTCCACCGGTTCCCATAATTTGTTTTCTCTAGAAGTCTCCCTTGATTTTATTGCACATGAATAGAAAGATTCAGTGTCTACTGGAGAATCTTTTAACCTAACCTCAATTTTAGGTCATTTAAAACTTACATGCTTTTTGTGTTTGTTTTGCTTTCAAAAAGATATTTTATTGCAATACAAGCTAGAGAAAGGCAGACCGGGTAGAAGCAGAAGACCGGTGTTGGGGACTGCCTGGTGTTGGGGACCACCCTTTGTGCTCTCCCAGTGGCCTCCTCCCTTCCCGTCCACTCTGGTGGGAACCACTAGCCCTGAATTCTAATACCAGGGGTTCGTTTTCACCTGTTTTTCAACTTTGCATAAATAACACTTATACATATTTTAACCTGTTCAGCCTGATCTCTTGCAAACATCGAGTAACACAATGATTCACTGATCAGGAAGAGTGAAACCTATAAATAAAAAGCTACAGGAGAGTCCCTGAAAGCCTGGAACCCAGCAGTGACAGAGTTCCAAGACCCCGTGTTACTTCCTGGTCTTCTAGGCGTTCACACGCTCAGCCCCTCTCCCCTGCTTTTTGGCTTTCATGTGGCCAGGCCCCCGAAGAGGACTCCCAGCGGCCCAGAGATGACCAGGGTGATGTGGACTGTGAGAAGCTGGTGGAACAGCTGAAAGACTGTGTGAACCTACAGGACCAAGCGGACATTCTGTACATTCTGTATGTAATAAAGTAAGTGTATGGTCTTCGCTAGCTCGAGCTTGCTCTGTTCTCCTTGACTCTTTGTTCTAGTTTTCTTGGCCTTCCAGCAAACCAGGCCATGATTCACCCTAAGTATCCAGGATCACCACGAACAGACTTCTGTCCCCTTCTCTGCCTACTAGTGCTGGCCTCCTGGGATGAGAAGGCTGAGTGAGGCCAGGAGCTCACTGCTTCCTGATGTTAGGCTTCTGTTTCAAATAGAAGGGATGCTTTGGTAAGATGGAGCCCTCTTGGTTAGACTCGGAGGCACCGGGAGGGCCCCCAGAACTTGGCAGAATGTGCAGTGATTCATTTCCCTCCCTGCCAAGTGAGCTCTGCTACAAGACAATCCGGCCTGTAAGCATTCCAGGCCATACTTCTGGGGTTTTCTATCTCTTGACAGGGGCCCCAGCTGGGACACAAATCTCTCCGGACAGCATGGGGTCACAGTTCACAACCTTCTCAGCGAGCTCTACAGGAAGGCTGGCTTGTATCAGGAGTGGGGTTTGATCCGCTACATCTCTGGCCTGCTCAGGAAGAAAGTGGAGGTCCTGGCAGAGGTCAGAGCAAGCGCACTCGGGCCCTCCGTTTGTTCTTTCCAGCCCCGTGCCCTCTTTCTGTTACAAAGCTAGAGGCAAGCACCTTCTATTTGTAGAGAAAACCAGTTATCGAATACACGGATGCAACAGGCCCTCCTCACTGACCTCTTACTGCTCTTGGAGGGCAAGCAAAGGAAATGAAATTCAAGTTGATTAGTCTTGTTCTTTTTTAGCTGCAGAAAAAGGTTTACCAAGAAATAAAATGAAAATGCTCTGTGGCCTGGCACCCTTAAACAGGGTGTTCTTATTTCAGCACATCTGCAGTATAGTCATGATTAACATTTTAACCCCGAGGTGCTGCAAAATCCAGAACTGCTTTCTAAGACATTAGGTTTCAGTGTTATGGTAAAGGTGATGGTGTCTGTTGGATGTGAGTAATGGGGAAACTGGCAACTTAAGACTGTAATGTGGTCATTAACCCTTAACATTGGCATCTTAGGACTCATGACAGCTCGTCTCCCTTGTGGAATAGCTGGGGGTGCAGTGTGTTTGCTATGCTGGGCAGGCACTAAATACCCTAGTGGGCCCTGCAGAGCCGGGCGCAGGCCACAGAGCTCACAGGGCCCCCGCCCTGCCTGCATTGCTCAGTCTGGGGTCTATGTATGAATTTTCAAAAAAATGGCACCGTGGGTCATAAAGTTTGTCAAGGTAAATTTATGGTCTTATTGGTGGTGACACTTCCCTGTTGGCTTTGCTAAACACCCCCCACCCCGGCCCCCGGCTATCACCGTGGCCCTCACCCTTTTCCCCGTGTGAGTAGGCCTGCACGGACCTGCTGTCACACCAGAAGCAGCTCACGGTGGGCCTGCCGCCGGAACCCCGGGAGAAGACCATCTCGGCGTAAGTCTTCAGCCTGGCAGCCTTACCTGGGTGCGGCACCGCGGGGCTCTGGGGGGGCATCTGTGCCATCCACCATTCACGAAGAGGGTCGTTTTGTTTTGTTTTTTAAGATTTATTTAGTTGAGGGAAGAGAGAGCACGAGCCGGGGGAGGTGGGGAGAGCAGAAGGAGAGGGACAAGCAGACTCTGCGCCGAGCAGGGACCCCGATGCAGGGCTCGATCCCACGATCCTGAGACCGTGACCTGAGCCGAAATCAAGAGTCGGGTGCTCAACCGACTGAACCAGCCAGGCGCCCCAGGAGGAGGGTCTTTCTAAAAACACTGTCGCTCGGGAGCTTCCTACAGGAAAATAAGGCTCTTCTGGAGAGGCGAGGAGGCACCCCTCCTAGGTCACTTTCATGGTGTGTGTGTCTTGATGTTTCTTCCTAGTCCTCTGCCCCCTGAGGAGCTCACAAAACTCATCTATGAAGCCAGCGGGCAGGACATCAGCATCGCAGTCCTCACACAGGTCGGGGCTGGCGAGGGGCAGGGGTCCCGCCACCAGCAGCCACCCGCAGCCAGTCTCTGAACCGCTGTCTCCACTTCTGTCTGCCTCAGGAGATTGTTGTTTACCTGGCCATGTACGTCAGGGCGCAGCCCAGCCTTTTCGTGGAGATGCTCAGACTCCGCATCGGACTGATCATTCAGGTGATGGCCACGGAGCTGGCACGGAGCCTGAACTGCTCAGGTACGAGGCACGCAGGTGGACTCTCGGGGGGCGGTTCCCACCCCTCTGACCCTGCCCCATGGGGAGCCTGCCCAAGTATTCTGGAAGCAGGGCTTCTGAGCAGGTCCTCTTGTTCAGATGCTGAATTTCATACGTCAGGGAGAATGAGGCACGAGGATCTTGTGCCCTGCTCCCGATAGCTAAGTTCCTACGGTATCTCCTTGCGGTGAGAGGTCATCCCCCATTTCCTAACACCTCCACTGGGAGCAATCGTACCCATTTAAATATGTAAGTCAGCGACGGGACACATTCCAACATTGGGAATCATCACAGTGTGAAAAATTAGGTGCGCGAGTATTTAAACCACAGCATTTAGAATCACCAAGGAGTGGCACAGTTCAGCCCTGAAACAGTAGCGAGGTCATCCTGAGCAGGGACACCTGTCACAATGGCCTTTGTCACAGCCTTCCCGAGGCCCACCTGACTCTATGTGCCACCAGCCCTGTGTCAGAGCCACTTAAAAGGTGTGTATTTGTAGGAGAAGAAGCTTCTGAAAGTTTGATGAACCTCAGCCCTTTCGACATGAAAAGCCTCCTGCACCATATTCTGAGTGGAAAAGAGTTTGGCGTCGAGAAAAGCAGTAAGTAAATGCTCTGTTCACATTGGGGGTGGCCAGAGGGGGCCGGACTGGCGGGCCTGGGGTCTCCCGGCACTGCAGTTGTGGACAGAATCCACGAGGGGCAGCTTCCGACTTGACGGGGATGGACAGTCCTAGGTTCAAGATTTCGGCTTTTTGGCCTCTGTGACCCCAGTGTCGTGTGTGCGTGCGCGCCCCTCTGCGCCCCGGCCCGCCACCTCCCTCCTCCCGCCGTAACTGGTGCACGCGTGTGAGGAGGGGGCGACGTGACTGGGGGGGCAGGATGAAAGGGCTGTGTTTTCCAGGCTCCGGAGTGGACCCCGCCTTTGGTTTGGCTAGAAGCACTCGCAAGCAGGCCCCCGATAATGTTCGGGGGAGTAGAGTGCTCTACATGGGCTCACGGCACCTTCTTGCTGAGTTTGCTTCACTCCAGCTTGCTCACTCAGTTTTGATCTGTACCAGAACCTTGTTTGCTGTGCTAGGAAGTATAATCGCCCGAGTCCTGGTGGAATTCTGTTCTCAAATGCTCCCTAATTATAATTGAAGCAATTATCATTTCTCCCCCTCATAATAAAGCAAAATGATTTGCAGACACATTGGCAAATTTATTTCATCAAGCCAAAGAAATGCCGTGTGGGCTGTCATTTTTATTTAATAAGAAGGACATTGGGTACTTCATATTTTTTCCCCAGAGTGCGCACCAGCCAGCAAACAAAGATGGCATCATGCAATCAGATGTGTTTTGGTCGCTTTTCTCCTTTCCTGAAGGAGTGCTTGAGATCCTTTTCCAAAAGTAATTTTCAGTTCTATTCAAATGCACAGTCCTTGAAATGTAAATTTGCAAAATAAATATTTTATGTGTTCCTGCTCATCAAAATAATATACGTGGTTTGACACACATAATTACTAAAAATTTGTTATTAGGTCTAAAGCTATAGATGCTTACAAAATTGAGAACAGAGCAATGTCACTTGAAAGCTATAAATACGTCTAATTGCAAGCAAGGCTAATTGCCGTCTTTTTACATGTAACATCACTTGTTAATTGTCTTCTGTCATTCAATTTTTATAAGTTAGGAAACTCAGTCTTAGAATTTTGATTAAATCCTGAGATATCTGAGATATTTCCAACTACTGCCCACCCTATACAGGCCTTACTGTAGCTTCTGGCTTTTCTTTTCTACCTTCCTGGTGTCCTTCCTTCCTGCTGTCCTTCAAATGTCGGCGTCTGTGGGCTCCTTAGTCATCTCCACTGTCCTAGGCAGCACCCTTCCCTCTGTGGCTTCAGTGGGGGGGCGGGGGCTGGGTGGGAAGGCTGGGCACTCAGGGGAAGCTGCTCTGAGGAAGTGACCTTCGAGCTGGGTTTGCAAAGGAGAGGGAGGGCCTGGCAGAGGGGAGCGGGTGGGATGGGCGGGAGCAGCCTGGGCAAATGCCCAGCCCCATGTAGCTGGCCAGGAGTGCAGAGCTGGGAGGTGGGGCTGGGGGGGGCAGGTGGGACCAGCCCCTAGTAGCTGGCCAGGAGTGCAGAGCTGGGGGGGGGGTGGGGGTGGCAGGTGGGACCAGCCCCGTGTAGCTGGCCAGGAGTGCAGAGCTGGGGAGTGGGGAGGGGGGGCAGGTGGGACCAGCCCCATGTAGCTGGCCAGGAGTGCAGAGCTGGGGGGTGGGGAGCGGGGGGCAGGTGGGACCAGCCCCTAGTAGCTGGCCAGGAGTGCAGAGCTGGGGGGTGGGGAGCGGGGGGCAGGTGGGACCAGCCCCGTGTAGCTGGCCAGGAGTGCAGAGCTGGGGGGTGGGGAGCGGGGGGCAGGTGGGACCAGCCCCTAGTAGCTGGCCAGGAGTGCAGAGCTGGGGGGTGGCGGCGGGGGGCAGGTGGGACCAGCCCCGTGTAGCTGGCCAGGAGTGCAGCGCTGGGCGGGGGTGGAGGTTGGGGGCAGGTGGGACTCAAGTCCAGAGGGCTTCATCCTAAAGACAGAGCTAGGCCTGGAAGGACTCCAAGTGTGTAGTGACATGATCACACTTGCCTTTCAGAATGATTGCTGTGACGCAAGCCCAGAGAAGTGGTTCGCGGGGAGGGGCGGGGCGCAGACGCCCTGGTCCAGAGGCTGCCACAGCAGGTTGAAAGTGAGGTGACGGAGGCCCTGGCCCCTCGTGTGCCGGCAGGGGGGTCTCCTCCGCCTGCAGCCCTTAGTCGGCTTGTTCTCCCTGGACATCCTCTCCAGCCCCAAGGTCCCTCAGTGGGGTGGTCTCAGTTTCCTACAAGGAAGGTGTGCTTTTGGAGAGGAAATTATTTTTTAAAAACCAACTGATTCATTAAAGGTTTTATGGCCGCTCTGGGTTTTTTTGCATGCTGCTTAAGTGATGTTCACTTTTTCATCCATTCTCTCGGGTACCTGTGGAGCATGTGCTATGTAGCAGGTACTGGTCCAGGGGCTGCAAACAGAGCGCTGGCCAGGGCAGGAGAGGCTGTCTTGTCCTGGAGTTTCTCAGCGAGTGGGAGAGAGAGAGATGTGGCTGAAAAGAAGCACAGGGCACGTAGTCCTCCCTCAGGACGGATGCTAGTAGTTTCTAAGAACCACATGTATGTTTCCCCTCCAGTGCGACCTATCCATTCCTCCACATCCAGCCCTGCCATCTCCATCCACGAAGTGGGACACACTGGAGCCACCAAAACCGAGAGGAGTGGCATTAACAGGCTGAGGAGCGAGATGAAACAGGTAAGACAGGACTCTTGGTGGCAGTGCCGGGAAAGAAGTGGTTTTCATGCCTGGGCTCACCTCAGAAAGTGCTAGAAACCCAGGGCCTGCAGGGTGCTCTTTGTATAGGATGTGAGATCCCTGCTGTCCTGAAATCTAAACACAGTCTACCCAGATATCTAAGAATTCTGTGAACATTCCGGAAAACACCCTTACCCGTGTTTGTCTCTATTGCCGAGAACCACACTTTCTCGGTGGTGGGCCACAGCTATTCCAAAAGTAGAGTCGTGCAAGATGTCACTGAATCATCTCACCATGAAATGTGTCCTTCAGATGACATAGCAAGAAGAAGGTAGAAATAGAATAGAATGCTCATGATACCTGTGTTTGCCACCATCCATGGGTGTCCCTCTTCTTGGTTCACTTTTTACTTCACGGTACATTCCATCTGAAGTGACCCCCCAGGACCGCAAGGCCGCAGCACTTCGGAGTCCTCGTGTGCCGGGGACGGGGCTAGGACTTGACCGATCTGTAGGAGGAAGCAGAGCTTCCTTCTGACCATGACCCGAGTGGGAAATGAACTCAGATTCTCTTCTCCATTTCAAATGATGACTCAGTAGATTGAGTCCCTGAGGCGCCTGTGGGTCACACCCAGCAGTTGGGCCAATACTTCCCTGGATTTTCTAGAGGGTGATAGAAGTAGGGTATCCTTGATTTGAAACTGGCTGTTTTGTGTGTCCTGATGTATTTTTACTTTCAGATGACTAAGCGATTTAGTGCTGGTGACCAGGTGAAACATTGTCTTTTTCCGTCCTTCACGTGTGTGCTTCATGTTCTTTCTGGCTTGAATGTGGAGAGCAAGACCGCGAATATGGAGAGTGATGGCCCGGGGAGTGGTTTTGCCCATCAAATCCGCTTGGGTGGAGGTGACTCCTCGGCTGTGGCGGGCAGGCAGAGCAGGAGAGACGGCCTTCCACACGCCTGTAAAAAATCCATTTATCAAGCTTTTGGGTTTTATAGGATGATTTGTGAGAGAGGTGGTTCTGGGCTCTGCCTTGCCAGGAGTTTCTATGCAAAAAAAGGGAAGTAAGTAGGGGAAAGTAAAACGTGGTCATTGATTACATGAATAGAAAGAATACTGCTATTCCTGTCCTCACATTGCCCGGGGCGGGGGGGGGGGTGTGGACTTTAACCCTGGAAGGAAAACAGTGTAAGGATATGTTCTTTCCCAGTACCTTCGGGACCCACTTCTTCCTAAGCACTCCTGTGACTGAGCAAGTGTAGAGGAGTTGTGGAGTGACATACAGCTTCTCTGTGTTGTCTCTGCGGCTACCTTAGGCTCTTTCCAAGTCAGGAACCCACTTTCCAAACATCTTCCTTTGCTAGCCACTCGGTGGCACCATACCCCGATCGTGGCTCACTGTGGGTGACTATGGGTGGCTCCTTCTGCCTCCATTTAATACTGTCCTTGTATATTACGGGGACAAAATGATCTTCTTTGCTAGGTTTAGATTCAGCCAGTACAAGTTTTATATTTGGCCACTTACATCAAGGAAATATATTATTCTCTCTCCCAAATTTTAGAGATGCCTTGGCATTTTAAATTTCGACTCTCTTTTTGCAAGAACACCACGGGTGCACAGTTTGTGCTCAGGCACTATTCCCATGCCAGGTACGGATACATTATAGATTTTTAGATGAGGAAATACTTGTTTGGCCAAAGGTCATCAGCCTTCTCTTACTTGTTCGTTTAATAAATATCTATTTAATGCCAGTAGGGGCCAGATGCTAAATGCTGGTTATGGGCAGGTATTTTATTGATCTCTACAGATTTTCACAACTCTTGACATAAAAGATTAGCATTTTGTGGCTAGGACTTTAGAAAATAGTGTCCTAACTTGATGAGACACCTCCACATAGGACTAGAATGGGTAACGTTTCAAAATCCCGAGAAAGAGCAGTTCCCAAGTCCTCCATGGCACGGAGCCCCGAGCTCTGCGCTGCCTGGTGCCTGGGGCTGTTCGCCTGGACGGTGAGTGAGAACTTCTGCCCGCCCGCCGCCTCTGCGCCTTCTTGCCGCGGGGGTTCTCAATGCTGTTCTGTGCTCCCCCTCTCTGCTTGCGTCCTTTGGGGTCACTGCACGTGACTGAGTGGACTCTCTTTGTTTTGTAGCTGTTTTCTGTGAGCCAGGCCGTGTCCAGCAGTGCGCGTTCCTCCAAGTCTGCGGTAAACCACGCATCCCGACTGCCCTCCTCACCGCCTCCTCGTTTGTGGTGTCTGAGTCCTCTTGTTGCCCTTCTCGTGCACCCACCGCATCCCTAACTCCCACAGCTTTGAACAGGTTTAAGTGTTTTCATGTGACTGTCATTATGAAGAGGGTCTAGAAGGAAAGCCAAGAAGTTCTTGATTTGAGCTTTGTCCAGGAGCTTCTGGAACCTTCGGGGCATTGGTTCTGTGCCTTTCTTCTGAGCCGGGGTGGTGAGCCACTGCCTGCACGTGCTGAGGAGCACCTTATATTCCCAACACCCTGGCTTGGCTTGAGGCCCCAGATCAAGTGCAGGAGTAGGAAATACTCTAATGGCAGAAGCGAGTCTTAATCTTCCTCTTGAAAGTAGAAGGAGAAAACCAGCTGAGTCATTGATGAGTGCGGCTGTAATTACTTTTATTTGTATCTAATTGTTGCCGTATTTAAATGGCAGTAATGAGCCCTATGGAATAACCCAGCCTAACAGCCTTTTCAAAATAAGATCCGATGAAGTCAAAATGAGTACCTAGGGAGAACTCCTGCCTCCTGCCCTGCTAGCATGCTTACCATTTGGATTTCATTTTTAAACCTTTAAGTTTGATGTTGTGCATTGAGAAATGAAGGTACGAGATAGTTCGGAACAAGATAACATGGAAGGATGCAAGTTACCCTCTAATGCCCTGTAGACGGGCAGATTAGAATCCATCCTCTGGCAGAAAGCAGGCTGTGAGCTCTGCTGCGGGGAGGGGTGCGGCATGGCCTCGGCCCCCCCACCCCCACCCCCACCCCCACCCCCAAACCGAGCCAGCTCGGCTTTCAGGTCCTCCGGCTCCAGACCCCCACTGGGAGCCTCTGTGAGCTGCATCTGCAGTCGTGGGCGGGCCCTGCCCCAGCACCTGGCTCTGGAAGGCCAGAATAAGGCCAGCCTCAGGCCAGGAGGTGGGAACGAGATGACGCGCTCCCTCTGCTTCAGCAAAGCCCGCGTTCTGGCTCGGCGGCCGCCATCGGCCCGGTGAGGATGGAGCCCCATGCTGAGAAAAGGCGAACAAAGGGATTCAAAGGCACTGGTGGATGTACCGTCATCTCGGAGGCCCCACTACTAAATAAGGATTCCCAGCCTTTACTGTTTGTCTTTCCCTCCAGAGCAACCCCTCTCCCCCTTATTATGTGCTGCGTTGTCTGCAGCACCTGCAGTATGGGGAGGTGACCCCTGCCCCCCTGGGGCACGGTGCAAGGAAAGTGGGTACCTGGGCATTCATCGGCCTGGGGGCTCTCTCGCAGCCCTCCTGCAGCAATGCCAGAGGGCCTCGGTCGGGACAGCTGTGTCCCATGCACACTTACCACAAGCCAGGCGTGCTTTCAAGGTTTTCTGTATCTTCATTCAGTGAGTGCTCACGGCTCCCTGAAGCAGGTCTGCCTGTGACCCGTTGTACAGGGGAAGCCGAGGCCCAGAGCTAGTGTTCGGATGGATGCAGCGGTGTTGACTTGGGAGTCACAGCCTGACCCCAGGGCCCGCACTCTCCCCTGCTTGGTCTGCCCCGTGAGGTCAAGGTCCTTTGATGTTGTACTACCTCTCGAGGGCTGGAAGGAGGACACAAAAGGAGATCAGTAACCAAACCCGTACAGAATCAGTCCAGCTTCCAGAAGTGGCCAGAGTTAAGCCAAGGAACCATGTTCCTTTCTGAGCAGGTGGTCTGTGTTTTGACGAGTTTGCTGAGTCATCCCTCATGCTGGCCAGCAGTCCCGTGGGATACCGGCTCTGAGGTTCCTAAAGACCGTGCGCGGTCTGTCTTGCAGAGGTGCAGCACCCCATCCTCGCCCACCGGCACTTCATCATCAGACTCAGGCGGGCACCACATTGGCTGGGGGGAGCGCCAGGGCCAGTGGCTACGCAGGAGAAGGCTGGACGGAGCCATCAACAGGGTCCCTGTGGGATTCTACCAGAAGGTGTGGAAGATCCTTCAGAAGGTAAGCTTGGCCACTGTACTGCATTTCACTGGCCTTGTCGCTGCGAGCACACACTCCTAGGGAAACGAACCACCCCCTTAATTCCTTTGTGAGGCATGGTGGCACCTGCAGGTATTAGCGTGTGGCTGCAGAGCCCGCAGATACGGCTCCCGAACTTGGGGAGCCCCCAGCCTAGAGCAGGGTTTCTTCACCTCTGATGTCTGGCACCACTGACATTCGGGGCCGGGTCATTCTTTCTTTGTGGGAGCTCTTCTGTGTATTGTGGGATGTTAGGCAACATCCCAGGCCTCGACCCACTAGATGCCAGTAGCACCCCCACGCCCACCCCTAGTTGTGACCATCAGAACTATCTCCGGACATTGCCAAGTGTCCCCTGGGCAGCACTGTCCCGGCTGAGAACTGCTGGCTGAAACCACAGCAAGTTAGATCGGGCGGCAGCCCAAGTTGTGTGGGACCACCTTTGACGTATTTCTGGAACGTAGAAAAGTCAGAAGTAGACAAAAACCGGAGAAGGCGGGGAAGGCTTTTGGATGTGACGTCGGCGACCTGCAATGGCGGCCCCAGGCCTTAGCTTCCTGCGTGTTCAGGGCAGGCGTGGTGTCCACACCATTCAGCAACATGACGCGGGCACCTCCTGTGTCTGCAGGGCACCGTGTCAGGCCCCAGGTGCTCCGAGGCACAATCCCCACATACCTGGGGCCGCCTCTGCCTCTCCACCTAGAGGGTGCGGACCCCAGACCCACTCCCTTTAGCCAGCTGTCCCCTATGCCTGTGGCCATCCGACAGGGCTGCATCTCCCAGCGGCCTGGGGCCGTGGCAGTATCAGCGGAGGTCATCAGAAGCCACAGCCCACACTGCACTCACCGGAACACAGCAGAGTCCGCCTGCGCGCGTGAGCAAGGAGGGGACAGCGGCGAAGCCACGCCCCTTTGTGCACCCCAGCCCCGCCCAGAGCACTTGTGTGTCCCCCGGGATCCCCGCCCCCCGGCTCGTCTTTCCTTGCACCCAGGCACGGACTGCCTCAGTTAAAAGCTTCGGTGCAAATTAAGAACCAGGGGTAGTACTGGTTTTTGTTTCTTTGGTTTTTTTTTTTTAAACGATTTTTGTTAGCTCCTTTCAGCACAGGAGAGGAGAGGAAAGTCATCCCGAAGGAGCGCACACTACAAGCCCCTTCCCAAAGGCACAGCACCTTTCGGCCGTTTTGTTTCTGGGGCCGGGGCCCCTGGTCCATTAGGGGGCTTCAGCATCTCTGCTTTGTGGGGACTGAGGTCTTCACGGCGCTGAGCACGGGGAGGTCAGGATGGTCCCTGTCCTCACGCAGCTGGTCCCCACACGGCAGCAGAGTGCACGAGAGCCGTTCTCCGCCTCTGCTCACGAGGCGCGGGCATTTGCCGCCACCCTGTCCTCAGCCCGCCAGGGCCCTGGGATTTAGCAGGCAACCAATTCGAATTAGACTAGAACAGGCTTCCTAGAAAACCTCCCCACTCTTCCTGGGGCATCATACGCTCCCATCCAGACTTCTCCTAGTTCGATACCAAGACACTTTTATTACGAAAAAGCAGCATTTTGTGTCGAGCCGGCACTTGATATTTATATACGAGGGTGCGCGTGTGCATGTCTGTGCATGTGCTCGAGTCTTTTGTGATTGGTGCTTCTTATAGTCATCTCAAAATAGATGCCTGCAAAGGCACAGAAGTATCACTTCACCAGCAGGAGCCATGAAAATCTCCCTTTATGTGGCACCAAAGGGGGCCTCGCAGCCGCCAGGGCCTGGTTGCCAAGTGAAATGCGGAGCTTCCACGGAGGAGGACCCAGCAGCTCCCCGGGCCGTTATTCGCGCGCGATCTGAAAGATGCCTGCTGCCTCCCTAGAATTGCTCCATCGAAAACACAGCCTGGGGGCAGTGAGAACAAGCTCTCTAAAAATAACGCTAGCAGTCTGGCGTGCTCAGCCCTCATGCCGGTTTCCAGAGCAGAGGGACTGGAGTGTGTGCGAACGTGTGTGCACAGTTACTAACCAGGTTCTGGAATCTGACTGAACCGTGCTGTGTGTGTTCTGCTTCCAGTGCCACGGTCTGTCCATCGACGGTTACGTGCTCCCATCGTCAGCGACGAGAGAGGTATGACGGGAGAACGCCAGCGCCCACCTCCTGCGGCTCTCCCCCCAGTGCTCTAGGGCGTGCTTCCCACCTTTGCCAACATTGCCTTTTCTTTGGCCCTCAGAAACTGCGTAGCTGACTGTCAAGAGCCTTACCTTTGCCCTTTAAGGCACTATTAAGAGAAGAGGGAAGCTGCACGCCCCACACGTTGGAGCCTTGTGCAGCCTCCTCCGGCCCCCTCCGCCCAGAACAGTCGTCTTTCTGGTTTCCCTCCCCCGATTCATTCTTTCACAGACTGAGTACTTAGTTTTTACCCCGCCCAAGACCCACTGCTATATGCCACAAGGAGTGATGAAGAAAGAGGAATAAGCCAAGGGCCCTGTCCCCTGGATGCCCCAGTCCAGTGGGGTGGGCAAATCAAGTTAGGACGAGGCCAACTCCACCCCCCCCACCCCCGCACCTCGAAGTTGTCGGCCTCCCGCTCCAGAGGGTTCTGGCTGGTGGCATCGAGAATGTGGCCAGAAAGGAGGCAGCATTTGGGCTGAGCCCTGGAGCCAATGGATGCCGTGGCCAGTGCTGGGAGCAGGGCTGGCTGTCCTCGGCTCCTTCCTGACCCTTCCGCCGGTCCCTTTGGCAGATGACCCCCCAGGAGATCAAGTTTGCCGTCCACGTCGAGTCGGTGCTGAACCGCGTGCCGCAGCCCGAGTACCGGCAGCTGCTGGTGGAGGCCATCATGGTGCTGACGCTGCTCTCCGACACCAACATGAACAGCATCGGGGGCATCATCCACGTGGACCAGATCGTGCAGATGGCCAATCAGCTGTTCCTGCAGGACCAGGTGGGTGTGCCCAGGCCCGCGCAGTCACCCCCCAGCCGAGACGGGGACAGAGGCAAGGTAGCAGGCTGGCTGGCATGTATCTCTGTCAAGGCTGAGGATTCTGTATCCAGTAGGAAACACTATTCTCAAAGAAAATGTCATCACAGATGGTGAAAAAATGTCAACCGTTTGGTTAGAAAAATGGCACAGTGGCCACTTGGGAAATGCAAAGATCTTTGGAAACGGACAGACTCATTTTGGCATAGGTTTGGCATACGTTTGTGCCGGCGTTGAGGTAGAAGGAACCGTCCTCTCGTTACAGAGTCGGTAACGCACTGCGGACGAGGGCACGCGGGAGCAGTGTAGTACCCAGAGGAGAGGCTGGATGTCACCCCGGGCACTCTGGGCTCCTGCCCTTGGGCTTAGAGCCCTCCTCTGGGGGCTGTTGGCTTCCAGCACATACGGGCATCCCAGGGCTTGAGAGGGAACTCTGTTCACTCTTCGCCTCTTTTCCTGCTGCAGATGTCAATCGGAGCCATGGACACCCTGGAGAAAGACCAAGCCACAGGCATTTGCCACTTCTTTTACGACAGTGCTCCAAGTGGCGCTTATGGGACAATGACCTACCTAACGAAGGCAGTGGCTTCTCATTTGCAGGACCTGCTGCCCAGTTCAGGCTGCCAGATGCAGTAGGGCCTCGCTGCTGTCAGTCTGTCACTTGCCCCCTAGCCTCGTCGGGAACCGTCTGTTCTCCAAGGTCCCCTGTGTTGGCGCAAAAGCCTGTCCCATCAGAAACCCTGGCTGGGAGGAGGTGGCAGCAATGGACCTGAAGCCAGTGTGTGTCCAAGCCACAGAAAGAGCTGAGCAGTCCTGTGCTCCCCCCCGGGAGTGCCATGGGATCGCTGTCTAGGTTCGCTTCGCTGTAACATTTGCCGCAACATCTGGCCTCGGAGTCTGAAGAGGAATTGGAAATTGGTCTCTCTTGAGGGCAGTGTGAACAGAGAAACCAGCTTAAATTGGCTCTCGCTGAGAGCTACTGAAATCAGTCGGATGTGCTAGTGGACACATCTAAAGATGGGAAGATCCTTCCAGCAGCGGGCATGGACCTTGACAAGGGGAACATCTTAACAGGATGCAGTCGGTCTGTGGACCAAACGGTTTACCAAATAGAACAACTCTATCTTTCTGTGGAAGTTTGGTTTTCTTGTGCCTTGTTTTCTTTCTAGGGCTCGTGTCGGTTTTTTGGCGTAGCTACCTGTGTGCGACAGCATCCTCTCTTGCCGAGATTCAGAAAACTGCTTGCAGTTAACTTTGGCTTGTGGTCTCAAGGATTTTATCCTGGCGCCTTATGAATTAGAGATTTCTTCTGCCTTATAAAAAAAAAAAAATCCCACATCTTCTGGAATATAGCACAAAAAATAAAAAGGCAGGGGAGGTGCCAACTCTCCTTATAGCTGGGCCAACTGTTGTTTGGGGGCTGGAGCAGCAGGGAGTCCCTCTGGAAGGCCTGTACCCCCTACCCCCGCATGGGGTGGCCACCGGAGGAGTACACGGTGCCAGATGCCCAGGAGAGGAGTGGTGCGCACAGAGCCATTCCCTTAGAGGCCTGGAATGTCGAGCAAGGCCAGATCCTCATAGGGCAGGGCCTCGCCGTCTCTGGCCAATGTTTGCAATGTTTGGTGAATGGAGTGTCTCTCTAGGCACTGTCTTACCTGGGGCGGAGGGGGGCGTGGATGGGACAACAACAGGGAACAGTTTGTGTGAATGACGGATTTAGGAGGCAAGCCGTCGCCCGGTGGTTAAATGGTGAGCTCCAGCTGCTGGAGGGTGACAGGTTAGATTTGTGATGACTCTGCCTCTGAAGTGGGAACGTGGCCACTGGATCGTTGTTGGCTCAGAAGCTTATGTGAAGGTGGAGAAAGCGGATGCTCTAGCTGCTTTGAGGGGACACGGAGGTGCCGGGTGCCCGGCGGAGCCCAGATGCAGTACTGATCCTTATTCTTGAAGCAGGAGAGGCAGGGTGGCCTCATGTTCCTGATACTTCTGCTAAAGAGCCTCTCTTCAGGCTGAGCCCCAGGGAGAGAGGGTCTAGAAACACAGGGCTCAGTGCTCCTAACCTGGGCTCGGTGGCACACATGCGCCTTCGGGACCTTGTTTCCAGTTCTTGAAAGCACGGTGCTTTCTTTGCTGAGGCACGGGGTAGTTACATAAAGAACCACCCCAGAAGCCATCAGTTTCTGCTCCCGCGGACTTCTCCTCCCCTTCTCTTCTTTCCCTTCCCTGTTCATGTCAGCACACGTTGCACACTTTCCGTGCCAGGTGTGGGAACACAAAGCTACAGGAGATGTGACTCGGCGCTCGAGGACCTCAGCCCGGCAGGGAAGGCAGAGTGCGGCGGGGGCGGTGGCCGAGACCCAGTGCCGTGGGACCGGAAGGTGGGGCCTGCCCGCAGCGCTGGCGTCGGAGCCAAGCTCAGAGACCGTGCGGGCCGCCTGGCCTCCGGCTCCTGCCCACGCGGCACATGGCCTGGCCTGGCGCCATGCTCCCTCACGCTCATGCGGTGCTTTCTGCTCGTGCCCCGTCTTTCCTGGGAGGCCTGTCTGGTCCCGTGCGCCTCCGAGGGTCCGGGGCTGGGAGGTGGGCCCGGCTAGCCTGGTTTCACAGTAGCAACTTCATAACCTTTATTTTGGGGGTCTTGAAAACATGTCTAGCATGGACGAAGCTCACGTAGTTCACCCGATCAACTTCCTGGAGGATCGTTTCAAACGCAATGTAAGAAAGGCACAAGCTGTGAAAGTCGCGGTTGCTTCTTGGGAGAGAAAGCTCAAGAAGAGTTACAGCCCTCCAGAACGAGCCAGATGCTAATTTAGAGCATCACCTGCCTGGTGACGTGCGAAACCGCAGATGCCGCGTTCGGGCTCACCAACGGGGACGCGGGCCGGGAGGAGCGCCATAATAGGCAGCTCAACGGAGCCTTCGAGTCACTCTTTTGAAGACTCTTTCAAATGAAATCCTGAAATAGTATTGCATTTCCACAGGCATCAAGCTGTCAGCTTCAAAGAAGGAGAACAGCCTTCTGAGGCTTGATCCCTTTCACGAGCAGCTGAGGCCCACGCCACAGAGAGGAACAGATGCTCGAGGGGGATGGCAGAGGCCCCATGCTGCCACCATCCTGGCCCCGGCCCGCTGGGCTTCCACGCCAGGAGGGCGCGGCCAGCGGCCCCTGCTGCTCGTCCCTCTATCCTTCCGTAGAGCAGAAAGGCCGGTTTTGACCTTTACTGGGCCTGGGAGGTAGCATATTCTTTCTCCGAGCCAGGAACAAACATTTCTTTTAACATCCGTTGAAAATCTGTTGGCCGCCGCACCTGCTGCTCACCTTGGCTTTGACCCAGGTGAAGCCAGCAGCAAGGACGAAGGTTCTGTCTCAGAGTCAGACTGGCCTTCCGGCCCGGCTCTGTGACATGGGGGTGAGTGACGTAGCCTCTGTGCACCCCAGTTTGCCCATCTGTCAAAGGTACACAAGGCCTGCAGACTGGCACGGGACTAAGTGTGAGGGAATCACAGGGATCCCCTTCTACTCCCTGCCTCTGGCAGTCAGAGCCTGGGGCTCCCCGTTCACAAGAATCCGGATTTGCCCGATGGCAACCCCCAGCCAGGCCAAGGGCCAGAGACATACGGGTCTCCAGGTCATGCCCGTGTCTCCTGGGGTGGGCATCTGTCAGTTTTCTGGGGCCTAGTGAACGGAAGGAGATTGTTACACATTAGGTGCCTAAATAGGATTTAAATGCTCCCTGTGTTTAAAAAAAAAGAAAAAAAAAAGACCAGATGATCAGGAGGCAAGAGAAACAGTTCGTCAGCTGATTGATGCCATTTATTTCTGGACAAGACGACAGGAGGCTCAGCCTCCCTTGGTGTAAATTATAGCAGAACCATCGTTCGGTTCTATAGACCCGTGCGCACAAATCTGGCAAATAGCTTTTGTCTTCCCTGCTTCCTCGTTGTCAGAGGGTACAAAAGTCTCCCAACCCCTCGCCTGGGTGCCATTATCTCTCAAGGTGACTCTTAAAGCTTTTGATGCCCCTGCCATCTGTTGTGCGTGTCTCTACTCTTTGCATGCTCCCAGAATGCCTCTGTTTGCCCGGACTTGACCACTGATTCCTCTGCTTGCCAGGGGAAGGTAAAGCCGCGCTGTCGCCCTCTTAAAGCCCAGGGCCCTTGTCCCCCTCAAAGCCATTCAGGAAAAGCCATTGGGTTAACCAAGAGTTCTCTGAGGCATGAGAAGAACTGAAACCACCGGAGACTATTCTGGAGTCTAACACACGGAGTGTCTGATGGTTTGGGAGAGGGAACAATTCCACCAGAGAACAACTGTGTGTGTGTTTTTCAGGAACATATGTGCAATTTCGGCAAAAACGGCTTCTCAGACGGAGTGGGGTAATCGGAACCAGTGAACTCTGAAGTCACGTGACGCATCCCTCCGCCTTACTGCAATCTGCCAGCTATTCTGAAACATGAGTTGCTCAGAAAGCATTTACTGTGGCCTACTTCAGGCCGGGCGTTGCTCGGCTCGCAGGAATATGGACAAGCGCGTGGGCTGACAAAACGCCGCTCAGTCGTGAAGGCCTCTGCGGAAGGGCACTGCCCAGCCTCCTGGGATGCCTTCCCGCCACAGGCCTCCCAGGCCACCCCCTAGTTGTCCGTTCTGTCCCGGGAACGTGTGTTGCAGAGAGGGTTGCTGCCGGGGAGGGGGGGGGGGAGCAGGGCGGTAGCTCAGGGCGGAGGGGAGAAGGGTTTCATTGTACAGCAGCTCTGCGGGGGACTGTGCCTGGGAAGCGGAGGGAAGGAAGCAAATGCCCAAGACGGACCATCCTCCACTCCTCCTGAGACGCCAGCAAGCTCCCGGAGCACCCCTGCTCTGCGACCGTTCAGGGGCAGGAACCGGGGAGCTGGAAAGGAGAGGCCATCCGATGACTGAGGGGCGCTGCCCCCGTCTCCGGCCCCAGACCACCTGTGGGCAAGCGCGCGCGCGCCTGCGCACAGCTGTCAACCTGCCTCTGCCTGCGCCACGTCCGGCGCGGGGGGACCCCCAGCCCCGTGTGTCGTGGGCGGCCGGGGCGCCGAGGCTGGAAACCGTCCCCAGGGCTCGCCTTCGGGCAAGCCTTTGCCTGCTCCCGCCTGCCCTCGCAGAGAGGCTTCTCCCCGTCCCCAGCGCAGAGGGCTCAGACGGCAAGCACCCGCCCGCCTTTCAAGTCGGGGCCTTAGCAAGCACGGGAAAGACTGGGGCTGAGGCCTTCAGGTTCTGCAAATCGCTCAAAGGCTTCTTCCTCTGCACTTTAAATAGATGTGCTGTGCTGAGTTTTAAATTTGACACATCTCTCTTTTCGAACTTAAAAAAAGCACAATGGCAAGCAAGCAAGCAAGCAACGTAGTGACTCATCCTCGGGAGGAAGGGAACGGCTCCCTGATCAGAAGCAGTGGTTAGGGGAACGTTCCAGGAGACTGCCAGGGGTTGTGTACCATCAAGGCGAGAGAGTGGAAATACGTCGGGAACAGCTGAAGCCCACAGGATTGGCTCTGAAGAGTCCCTAGAATAAGCGTCTTCTGAGGGGCTTATTTCTGGGCCAGCCTCGGGCGTCTTGGAAAGACAGAGGAAGGTGGCAGAGATTTCCAAATGTACATCCCTCAGATATTGGTAAAGAACAACCTAGCTTCATCATACCTTTGCTTAGTTACTGGACCACTATTAGCACCAGGATTTTACAGATGGGGAAACTGAGGCTCAACAGGCATGTGGCTTGCATAAATTCTCCCACTTTAGATCCAGATTGAAGCCTATGTTTCAAGACTCCCATGTTTACCCAGATCTGGGCAAAGAACACTGCACTGCCTTTACAAATTTACCTCAGAGGAGAGACTCATTTCCTTGGTTTACACAAGGTTTGGATGGTACATATGGAGAGAAGTATTGCAGGGGACAGGGAGTCTCAGTTTAGCATACAGGGATTTAAAAAAAAACAAAAAACAAAAAACCGACGCAGCCTAAGATGATCCCAATCCTGTTTGCAAATGGGCAGCCTGGTGCCGTATGAAACACTCCACCCAACTCAAGGACTGGACACACCCATCCGAGCACTCTGGGTGCCTGGAGTGTGTGTCGGGGCCAGGGCTAGACTAACAGTGCTGTGGGCTTAGT